TTCATAATTACGAGTACCGACCTCTTAAATAGACAGCATAAAATGACAAAATTTTGTAACGAGTTAAAGTACTGAACTGAGCTGCGTCTGATATATAAATGAATAAGCCGAATCCGATCCAACAACTATGAAAAGAAGACAAGAAGAAACAACAAGCATCTTTCCTTTTCTTAAAATAATGAGTAGCCGGGAGTTCTTCAGAAACAGAACTTCCATCGCTATCCGTTGTATATGAAATCTATGGCAGGACAATATGTGAAATTATCATATGAAAATATCCTGTGTGCCACGCCGGAAAACAGTCATTCGTTATCGGACAGTAAGCGAAGTGTAGCTGTTGTAGAGTCACCGTGTCGTCATCGAATTGTGCTACTTTATGTGTTCTTCACACTTCAGCGGTGAGTACGTACAATTAGTAGGACAAGATATTACATCTACAATTAGGACCCGCGTCACTATAATGCAGGCACTACATCTATTAAACAAAAAATTAAAGTACCAGTCTTAACAGGCGGCTTAGCAAGGATTATTATAAATTAAGCAACGAGCCATTATGGGATGGCTCAGAACTTCGGCTCCTCAGCGATGTACCGCGACACCCCAGCAACGAACCACTTAAAATATATTGGCTGTATTTTTCCAATATTTGTGTTTATCGACCCTGTATCCCGTGCCGTATAGGCCCTAAGAGCATAAAATAAAAACCTGCCTAAACATTTCATGGGACAAAAAGCGCTGGTCATAATCATCTGTGTCTTTCTTCTCATCCTAATAAAGACAATCTTCAGGAAAATGGAGAGAAAATATTTTATATTTACTCGCGCTGAGCTACAAGAACTGCTAGATTTTGCTTGTTTCTGTAAACAATGATAATGCTATATCGGCGATACTCTGGCAATAAATCCGGTACTGGATTTATATGACTAATATTCCTTCTTCATGCACTATAACAGTCTTTTGCACTGCTTTCGAGAACATAAAATCAATGCCTAATTATGTTACCATTCACAGTCTAGCTATAGTTCATCGTGGCAGATTTAATCTCCTTCATCAATCAAGCTTTCAATCTGTCCTGACTAGTAAACATTTTGCCTTGGCCTTATATCAAACTGAGTCATCTGAAACTGAAGCGCAGCACCTTGCATGTTTCCAGTTTTTCCACACGATACGTTCTACGCTTGCCCTGCAGTTCATGAGTATTTAACTCTCTAAATACAGTGGTCTGCTATCATCTTCAAAATAGTTTTGCGTTTGTTTGACATTACTTGGCAGCAAAGTGCTCACTTTTACAAAATTTAAATTATTTCCTCAGGAAAATCGTTAGGCAGTTGTAGCATACTATTTATGATCGAGTAATTATTAGGGAAATAGGATAATTTGGTGGGTATGTTTATCGTTATTCATTATAAAGAAATGGGCGAATAAACGAATCAACCTGAGTTAAAGTTAGTGAATCGGAGCAACCGCCTGGCCCAGATACCTAAGTTTAAGTTACACAGTGATCCTCCCCGTTCTTTGTAGGCCATCTAGCATTTCTAAAGAAGTAAAGAGGTCGTTTCGATTCTACAAAATATAATATCTTACAGTATAATAACTATCCAAAGAAGCAATGTATATTCTGTAAATTCTCACGTTGCTGGATGGCAAACACTGTCGAAATTTTACAGAAATTTTATTTATAACTAGATAAGCTCTAACTTTATTATTTGTGTTATTCTGTCAAATTTTATCTAATTTTTCTAATTGTCTAAAAACAGAATTAATTGGCTTAGTTAGTGACCACAATAATTATACTAACATATTTAAATGTTATAGTAGGCTAGCCTGAAATTTATTTCTGTAACATTTAAATTTCGTATGTGCGATTTTAGTTGTTCTTTTGCTTTTAAATTTGGCGCGTTTTGTATTTGCTATGCTATTTACGTCTTAGCTTATCTTCTATCTAACAATTTTATGGGATGGAATACAGTTTCCTTGACGCACTCGAAAGCTATACCCATAAATCTATGGACTGCATTTCTAGGGGACTACTGACATGCCCGAAAGACGGTATTAAATCTATAAGTCAATTGACACCCAGTTGTCAATCAAAACAATCCAGTTACACTGTTTATATATGTAGCACGATACGTGAACATTTTGCTATACAGAAATTTAATTTTTGTCTTTTCTGCGGCTTCGATTTACTGGCAGGTTGGAGGAAACTAATCTCAATGCTGTCTATGAAGAGTTCCAGACGAATGACTATTAGGATAAGTTCATTCTGGAAGCGTTCGAAGACTTTTTTGACTGGATGCGATTTTCCCGTTCTTTCAAAGAGGTCGCAAAGATTGTGAGGAGTCGCAAGGAGCAGTAAAACAAATTCACTTTCTAACGTAGCAGAACTAAGCACTGACGCACATTATGATTGTTATAAACCTCAAATGTCGCAACGTTACATCTGATGGTACCACATTTAAGATAAGCTGGATGCATAGGCACCAACTGCGTATGTTCTCTTAATCGACCTACGATCATAACATTGGCGTTCTCTTTTACGTTTTACTCTTGTTGGCATACTGTCTAATCCAGTCTAATCCGGCGCTGTACGGGAAATTCTATAGGTTTATTATATATATATATATATAGTACAGAGTATTAAACCCTTTCACACATCGAAGTTGTTCGCATTACGAATCTTTAATAAAATTTTTATTATTTTGCTTTTAAAGATTATACACTGAGATATGTTGCGATACTACACGTTACCAAGGGTTTATGTAAGGCCAGTTACATGAGGCCATCGAGCAAAAAGGACCTTACAGGCAAGTCAAAGCTTGTCTTGGCCAGATAACGCTAAGCACACACATGGCAAATACCGTTAAAGCAGCTTTATTAGACCTTAGCTATCTCTATTTAATTACCGTAGTTTTCAGGTTTCATGTTAACGGATTACCACATTTTTAGGTCTCTAGCAAATTCAGTTGTTAACAACATATTTAACGTCGAAGAGGGTCCTAAAAACTGACTCTACCAGTTGAGCAACCACAAACTTGAAAATTTCTAGTGAGAAGGACCAGACAAGCTGTAGAAAGTTACAAAAATTGGTTTCTAACATTCGGAGTAAAAAAAAAAGTCGCTTGGAAGTGTGAAAAATATTCGTTTGACAATCTGAATATATTCGCTTTTCGTTTGTTTGATATTCGAACTCTGAAAAGCCAAAAAGATTTCGCCAAGAAACGTTTTTTAAATTCTTACCTCGTCCTGTATAATAGATAAAATAAAAAAAACTACACAATCTAAAAAAATATCTAATTAGCTTACTGATTCCAAAAGGACACCAAAATAGATAACTACACATGACAAAAATATAGATTTATTCTAACTTTATTGTAATTCATTAGCATGTGTTGAAGGGCTGTTATCAACAGGAGTTAACACAGGCATTTGCTTTCATAGTCCAGAGCCTTAATCTAGCTTGATTACCGTTATGATACGCACATTTGTGTACTTTGTATACTTGTCATATACATTTTAGGAAATGCTTAATTAATACGGCTTAGTACCTGCGCTCGTCCTGGATAATTTTGCTGATCGTAACCCAGCTCAATGTGGCCGTTCTTGTTGGCATGTCCGAAAGGGCATTGACACTTCGCATGTTTTTTTTGCGTCGGCAGTATTTTTATGAAATACACCGTTTCAAGTCTGATACTTGGCCTTATGCGCGTGAAATATCTTATTCCTACCTGCTAATAGCCAATCCCTAAACCTACCTTCCGAAAAAATCACTTGTACAGCCAGCAGATTGCAACAACGTTCCCGAGTTGGAGACCCGTTCGCCCTGGCAACACGCTCTTAAATGCATTTAAAAGAACTTAAACGACTTGAAGCTTCAATAAGAGTAAGTTGCAATGAGATTCCTATTTAAAGACGATTTTGACAGGTCATGGAAAAAATCGGCACTGTCACTGTCGGCAGCAAAAGTAGGCATAATTCTGCAAGTTGCTGTTAATTTATCATGAAGGTTACTCAATCAAGGTCACGCAAGGTATTCGTTTGAATCTCTATGTTATTATGAAAATGCTATTGATATATATTGTATAGCATTCTTTTGTGACGATTTGACTTAGTTGATAGAAACAAAATTTGTCACATATATTTAGTCAAGATATATTCGAAGACGTTAGATGTGCAAATGCGACTATAACGTTATTAATTGATTCTCTAAGGTTAATGATTACTTTAAAACATAAAAAATTAAATAAATGTGTGACCTGGATTGATAAAAAAAATCGTTATCTATGTATGTGTTTTTCGTATAGTGTACGTTATTGGCGGTGCCAACGTATCGATAAAATTGACGGATTGTACACCATTTCAAACATCGCTTAGATCATTTAGTAGAACGAAAGAGATGATATTAAAAATATCATTGAAAAAGACTCGAAAAATAGACTACCAAGCTATCCGATACCTAGACATGGGGCTTTTCTTTGTATCCAGTTTCAGCTTTTTTATATCAGCTTTCAAATGACACAAAGGCCAACCCGAGGCGTCTTATATTGTTTGAAATAGACGACCTCAAACAATTTAGTTAGAAAAACAGTCAGCACTTTCTCAATAATCCGTGCATCTATATATACATACTACCATATAAATCATGTTGTGCTTATGTATGATCATTTATTATGTACATATATAGACAGACGACAGCAGTCGACAATAACGTTGTTCCTGGATTGCGGCTCAGAAGAGCGCCCGAGCAGATTATTACTATCAGTCATTCTAAGGAAAGGAAAGGAGAATATGGCGTCTTTCTCTTCTCTCCCTCTTATTTGTCGCATCGAAGATGGTTTAGCTGTTGTTTCCGCTCACAGGTCATTTAAATACAGAAAAGAGTCGTCAAATTTTGATATTTCGGATCATTAAACGGTGAGTACGTACCTACGAGCAGGTGTTACGTGTAAAACTGGGATATGTGCTGTAAACTAGACCCTAGTATTTCATTAAGATTCTGCTCAATCTTGAATCGATGCACCTAATCTTAATCGGATTCTTATTTCTTTACTAACAGTCCCGTAAGGTCTGTTGACCTAATGCTTCGTTGTCCGAATCTCACCGTAATCAATTTGCGCATACCTCATTCTGAACTTTACTGTTTCCGAATCCGGCTGGCGGATGGCATAACTTCGAACCTTCAAAGGCACCAGTGATGCCTCGCGGGCTCCAAACATACTAACGCTTTGAAGTAAATCCCGCTGTCGCGAGAGCGATTCATCCATCTCACTAAGAAACCGATGCTCATCTTTGGCGCCAATCTGCAGATTCCAGAATCGACGGAGTCGAAACAATTTATCGTAGGCAGCAGGGGTATATCGCAGCTCCGTAAGCAGTCGCGCGACCTTGCGTGTTTGGATAAGCTCCGTCTATTCGAGGCTTCACCTATTCTCAGGTGGTTTTCCTGTAGAGTAAACCTGGCGTATCGGCTTGAGAACGTTTATTATTCGCACGAACCGAGACCTGGCTAATCAATGCATTTGATCGATGTCATAAAGGTCACATTGCTCCTTGTCGGCTGACAACTCGGTGTTGAGCGCTGCAACTTTGCCTTTGAATGCCCTCACACTGTGGGGACTACTACCCTTTCTGGATACAGCTGCAGAAAACGACGTCCGCTTTTTGCTGGATGCGTCTTTAAGGTTAAATTTTAGGCTACTATGGTATAAATTGCAAGAACTATTTCGGGATGACTTGAATAACAACTGTCTATTTAACTGTTGTTTTTTAGTTTTAAGTAAGTCAGTTAATTGATGTTGTTTCAATTGACCCCGTGGAAAATTGTAGACACACACCGTTAACAGTCGGCTAAAACCCTTGTTTGATGAAAGGGCCATAATTATTTAAAGTAGCACGAGCAGGAATTCCTAAAACGAATATTTTATAATTACATGTGATAACATTACTAATAGCTCTTACTCGTTTTTGTGAACAGTATTTTGCAGTCTTATGGAATCTCTACACTAAGCGCTTAACGGATTCTACATTAGTGTCGGATTCAGCTATTGTTCATCTTGACCAATAGAGCTTCTTGCCTGTCAAGCCTGTATGCTTAAACATTTACATTAGTGATCGTTTGCCGCAGATGAGAATCGATTGTCAAGAGCTTAATAGTGTATAAAGTTAAGAAAGGTACAGCCAGAGCGCAGATGGCGTCAACAAATATAAGAGATATGATCGATCGACCGGATCATCCTATGCTGAAGCGCGCCTTCAATGAGATCATCGAAATCGTCTGCCATAGCGATTCGAGTGGAATGGCCCCTGTGGACGCTTGGTTCAAGCGGCTCATAGAAGAAACGGTACCGCATGGAAAGTGTATTCGGGGTATGTTATTGTTGAGTACCTATCAGATGGTCGAAACGTCGTCGAATACGGAATCTCTCGAGTTGGCGACGATAGCCTTCTGGCTCATTGAAATGAGTCAAGCGTTAGCGCTTATCTTGGATGACTTTGTCGATCGCGCCCAAACGCGACGTGGTCGTGTCTGTTGGCATCTTCGGGACGACGTCGGATCGATGGCACTTTACGACGTTTTTTTGCTCGAACAGGGCATTTATGAAGTGATGCGTCGGCGTTTCAAGAACCATCGGCACTACGTTGATTTCCTAGAGCTTACACATGAGATAGCCCTAATTACAATTAAGGGTCAAAGCCTGGATATGCTGGCCGAACGAGGTCGCCTATCGAGTGAAGAAGTGTATAAGGAACTTATTAACGCGAAAACAGCTTTGTACACATTTTACCTTCCAGTCCGCTTTGGCCTGCTTCTTGCTCATAAAGATGATTTCGCACTCCATATGAAGGTCAGAGAGTTCTCTTTGAAGATCGGGTCAATTTTCCAACAGCAGGACGATTTTCTAGATTGCTATGGAGATCCGAGCGCAACTGGCAAAATCGGCACGGATATTACCGACGGAAAATGCACATGGTTTTACGTGACAGCAATGAAATTAGCAGATGAATCTCAGAGAAAAGTACTGGAGGAAAATTACGGCCAGGGTAAACCGGGTAAGATTGTGTACGTCGTACAACATATATGAACAGAAAATTCGTAGAGATTGTGTGAGCCGACGAAAAACGTTATGAAGGAACCTGGGTGTACTAGCTATTAATACGGCCGCGCGAGCTGGCCCAGCCTACGGGGTGGGTCATTATACGCTAGGGCTTATCTTGCGTCTGCTAATGATATCAGATTAATTTTAGCTGGTATAGTTTTCAAATTGACAACACTAACGCCAGTTGTCACGGAAAAAATGATTAGCAAATTAATCAGATCCTTTGTTCTTATAGGAACCCGTCCTCATACCTCACTTAGCATTATTGGGTTATGCGTAGGCGCCTTAAGCTCTAGTGTATTCATCGTAAAATCTTAACTAGACCTTTGGCTTGACCAATCGAAGTGTTAACTTTTTTCTTGCAATGAATATAATTTGCTACTCTTTAAAGTTTTGACTGTTATTTACATTCTTAGCTGAAGTGCTAGAAAATCTTCTTGGACCTGTTTGAAATTTCCCATTCAATTTTTTCTTTTAAATCTACCGCAAACTCACAAAACTCGCTTTAGCATTACTGCTTGGAACGACAATAATTCCTAGAAAGTGGAATAAACGGAAAGTATGTTTCACCAAAAGGGGGTAATTGAACGGGATAAATAAAGTTAATAAGCATTTTGATGTATATTCTCACAGCCCTTTGATCAAATATCGGAAGAATACCAAATGCACTCGTAGCGACAGCTTGACATAGTTGGCAAACGTAAAAAAGGCTTGTAAATATTTCAATTAACCCTAATAAAAGCAAAGTTAGAAACAAAGAAAAAAGTACCGCGGTTTCAAATATTACGTTTAGATGAGTGTTACTATTCGACTAAAGTATCATAGAACTCAAATGTCACTCATGTTCTAGAAGGACTCAGTAAAAACAGTAAACTCAGTAAAATATCGTCGGCGTTGGCGTTGCGGAAAACGCGCTCACTTCTTGGTTGAACATATTTAACCTATCGAAGCTGACATTGCTATATACCAGCAGACTGCGATAATATATGTGTATATATTATTGTTTACTAAATAAAGCTTTTTCTTCTATCGATTCGATTCATAGGCGGATCGGCTGAGTCGAAGGTAAAGGCGATCTACGAAGAACTGGCGTTAGAAAGCCGTTTTCAAGAGTTTATCAATGAACAGTTTCACGATGCGAAGGACTTCCTAGTTAAATGCGATTTCCCGTTTCTCTCGTTTGACTTAGCCCTGGTAGAAATTGAAGGCCGTCGTAAGTAAATAAATTTACGCTCTATACCTACAGCGTTATAAAATATCGTTGTTACTACTACTACTACTAATGGTTGTTACGACTTCCTTATCTACTGCCATTGCAAGTTCTTTTTCTTATTATAATTAGCCTCTATTTAGTAACTGGTTCATATAATTATAACAGTATGCAGAGTTTAGGGCGGTCGGCCAGTTACTCAGTGTTAACGATCATCATCGGTTAGGTGAAGTATAAATGGTATCGTCGTGCATTCGCTTTCGTCTCGAGAACAAACAAACAAAGAGCAAGATTAGTACGTTAAAGAGGAGCATAGGTCATTCATATTTTGTCCTTTCAAAAAAGGGTGCAACTAATGACCAACTAAAGCAAATGTACGTGTTATAAACTCGCAATCTGCTAAATAAATCTCGAAATCTTTAATGCTGAAGACTTTCAGGGTACACACACAAGAAGTTCAAACATGTTGAACGCAAACATATTCTCTATGTATTCCTGTCCAATATACGTTAACATAGCGTCGTACCCTACATGCACTGCTAAAATACTCAAATGATTATACAGAAAAGCATAGCATTGATACAATACTAGCTTTGACATCACCGGAAAGAGACAAACATAATGGGCAACTTAATTCTAGCTTTGAATTTCAGCGGTAATACACGGCGTGCCTTTCATAAATTGAGCTTCCACGGTTACGATTACACCGGTGGTTGGTTGTCCGAGCTAGAACTTTTGAGTCTAACCTTGCGAGTAGGACACATAGTATCAGATATGAATCGGGTCAGATAATAGGAAGTCGCTCTATTAACGTAAATAACTTTCCTATTTGTGATGATGATTGATAATAACACGTTAGCTTATAGATGATTAAGAACATGGTGATGCCCTCCCTAAAAGATAACCGCGGAAGTCTTTGCTTAATCACTCAGAAAACGTGGCTACGTTTACACACAATAAAAGAAATAATATTAACCTCTACATCAGCATCGACACATGCAAGCAAGTAAAGTCTAAGAAATTCAGCGAAAAAAATCAATACCAATAATACGCTGTAGAAGAATACTAGGTACAAAGAAAATCACAATGCTTATGTCTTCACTTAATTGTATATCGACTTAAACGGACAAACCGTATGCCATTTCACATTTAGTGATGAGTCCGTTCGATTATCTTAGAAAGCAAGTAAAATGTAGGTAATAATGGGGAAGAATCTAACTAAAATTGTGTACCTAGGTTTTAGTTTAACTAGCAGCGAGGCCCTGTTTCTGTTAGTGTGGACCGAAGGTATATACACTATATGTAATTCTCAAAAAAAAAAACAGTAAGCAGATCATTTTTGGATTCTGCATCTACACTTAACTACATTACAGATGTTTCGGATAATCCACATTTGATTGAAACGTATGAAACTGATGATGAACTGAATTCACAAGCAGAAAAACGTAAAATGAACGTCTGGATCAGGAAAACCTTCACATACAGCAAGTCCACTGAGCTAAACTTATATTCGAATACCAATTCTTACTTTCTATTTACGTTTAAGTGGGTGCTTTGCAAAGGGCAGAGTTAGCTAGAAATAGATATGTATTGCCTTATTCCAGGGATAGATAAATGGATTCATGTCTCTTGCTTTCGACTAGCAGGATTACTTCGCTCTTTTCGAGAATTAATTGTAAACCTTGATCCGTGGACCTATCTCTTTGAAAATCAACTGATTATTCGATAATGCGCTTTCCTCTTCAAATTCTGCCGCCAACTTTCTATCGATGACAGTCATTAAGGCTTTTCTTTTTTTCATCTAATTTGAAGGAACTCTAGTAAGAATGCCCTCAAATGGAGGCTTTGATGCTTTCTACTCGTAAGGACTAGGATTGCCCTTTTCTGTTCCATGAGGCACCCGTCTCGTTGAAAAATGGTGTTCTTCATCAACGTAAAGATTGAATGTAGATTCTCCGTGAGGGAAAATCTTCACTGCAAGTAAAATATTGTCCAAATGCATAGCAGTTCTTCTGTAACTGCCTCAACCTCTTGAAACAGGATTAAGAAGATATCCTTTATAGAATACATTGGTCGTTGGGTGGCGGGTAAGCTCCGAATGGCCCAGAAATAAGCTCCTAACCGCTTTCTTTTTCCAGCTCAACACTGTCGGACGGATTCTTGGGTGCCCTTCGTATGGCCACAGCTAGAATTGGTCTAATCTTTGGCGCTGCGATGTCATGTTCATTGCTAAGGCGGCTTTTGCATGATCTAAAAGCGAGCCGCCTTCTTTTGAGCTACTTAAGTATCAGCACCCACCCCGTTATTATTATTAGGAATATTAGGAACCCAAAAACAGGACTCAGAGTTTACATTATATGAATCCCTTTATATATGAATATGATAATCAAGACTGAAATTATAGGGCAATTATGCATAATTGTAAAATGTTGAATAGATGTAACAACAAGTTGCTGCCTGTTGATAACTGATAAAGAAAGCAAAAATCCAAAAATGCCAATTTGCTCATCACATTTTTATGGGCTTATTTTAATAACTCTATTAAGAAGCAAACATTCGAAATTAGAATAAAAGGCTACGATATGTGAGTTCGATTTCATCTAAATTTGTTTGTTGATGCCAAATGACGACTATTTATCCGTGGCCGTTTTTTAACAGATGAGCATGCAAGAAAAAAGCTTCCGATAAGCTAATCCTTAAACATAGCAAAAAACTGCACAGTAATTAGTGCAGTGGGCCCGTAGATATGCTTACCAGTGATTTCTTTGGAATACGTCGATTATAGAGAACGTGCCAATGTACCAAAAGCTTGAAAAATCGAACATCAGCATAATCGTGTAAAGAAAAGCTAATTTAGAAGACAAAGCGCTTCTTGCACTAGAGATGCATTCGTATGCGATGAAACTTACTGACTAGAAAATTTAGCAAAAATTATTTTTGATATGGTTATGGTGAAAATGTAACGTAATATTTAATAATCAACTAAGTCTAGAAAATTCAATTAATTTAAAAAAAATCTACTGAAGTTTCATTAAAATATACTTATAATTTAAAATGTAACCCTACTTTTTCCCCGCTGGCAAAAAAAATTGTCTGCATGAATGTTAGATTTGTATTTCTTTGCAGTTCTCTTGCTTTTGCGTGAATAGGCATTCAGTGCTAGATGGCTCAGCGGGCACAGATATCACGAGGAAAGCCCACCTGCTTTATTAAGAAAACTTTAAAGGAACGGATTGTATTATAGGTTGCCCCACATCTCATATATTGGCCATTGTCGTCGCAGATACTGTTCTCAATGCTATTAAGAAAGAAGTTCACAGCGAAACTTTTAACTCTTTATTATTAAAAGAAGTCGGAGAGATACGCGGATTTTAACGGGCCGAGGCGGACCTATTGTCTAGCAGGATGATAACCTTCGATGAGTTTACATATGCGGCAGTCACCTTTGACTGCCTAGGGAAAACCAGAGACACTAATACAAAGTAACGAAGATGAATTCTTTTTTCCTTGGCCAAGCGAATATGCGGATTGAACAAGTCTATTACTATCGCTTTGTCTAAGCCACGATACTTAATTTCGAATTTCGGCTAAAATGAAAATTTTCTCGTTTTTAAAATAGCCAATCTCAGCGTTTTGTAAAAAATAATTTATGATAGGAACAAATTTTAATAATTTCAAGGGTTTTTCGTAACGGAACTCCTTAACCGCGTAATATTTTTCGCACATTTTACGCTAGACAGCCTAATGTCCAAGTTAGTCCTGACTCAAGATTCAACTAAGGCTGCATACAAATTAATTCGGTCTTATATGGGCTTTTCTAAACCTGATAAACTGACCAAATTTAATTATATCCATGTGTCTCAGACCATGATCAACTACTTTAAGTAATAACATTTAACTATGCAGCTTGCAACTTCATTTTTCCCACTGAACGACGATAGATTGAGTGACGAGTGGTGATCGATCAGATCATATCTGAATTTTTATCAAAAAATGTAACAAGAATTACATGTCTATGCGCCCCACTTTTTGAATATAAATTTAAGGTACTGTTTTGAAACCTGGTGCAAAACGATGGTAGCAGGCTTATAGACCAGAAACGGCTTTCCAACGGCATACAGGGCTTAACGATCGCCGAATAAAAATTGGACAAAGAAAGCGATGTACGATACCGCTATTACCTTTCGAAAAGCTTTAGATACCTTACAATTAACAATATCTGTGGCCGACACCCGACTTGATTAGCCTTTCAGCCCTATATCTTCGTTTGTCTGCCTGTACAGGTTTTAGTTCTGGTCTGTTTTTGGAACGTATATTTTAAGAATACTTTTAGTACTTCAGTAAGCAAAGAATGTTAAATTTTCACAACAATTACTTTGTGCTAATGAATGTACTTATCCATCTTGAATAGGCTTCATATAAGAAGAGTCTTCTGCACAATATGTGTAATTTCTCGGCAAATAAATATAGCTTCTTAATTTCTAGTTTAGAAACATATGGAGATATTCCATATGTTTACTCAAGCAGAATCTTCCTATGTTGGAAAACACTTTTACAAAAAAATCATTCAAAGTTTAACTTCCAACAGCAGCAAAACAACACGACCATCATGGCGAACTGGAACAAACGCGTAATGAGCACAGGCAGGTATTTTAGTGGTATTAAACTTTTAACTATAGAACAACAATGTTAATAATCTATGCTTTTAATATAACCGAAGTCAACTGTAATACAACCTTCTTGCTATTTATTTTGACCGTCCAATAAATCTTCGTGGTATTCCAAAAACGATGATCTTTGCTTATCAGTGTATATTGTGATGATTCGAACAACCGTTTTTGTAGCGACGAATCGTCCTCGGGAGAGCAGATCGCAGGGACGATGGCGTCTATAACGGGCATCAGGGGTCGGACAGTCCGTACGATACTATAACGGTTTTCACCTTAGCGGAGTGTACCCAAAGTTCTCAGCAACGATCGTACATTTGCCCTGCATTGTTTAATAGTGTAGACAGATAGAAGCAAGTGCTTTCTATCAACCATATTAACGAGTAAAGAATAATAGATGAGCTTTCGAATTTTCATACAATCAACGCTGCTGAAGTCTATTCGACATTTTATTTTTGTGTAGAGACACCGAGGTGGGACTCCACCTAGATAAAATGTGTCCATTTTCACTATTTTATTAATTATCTATTAGCTTTACGTTAAGTGGAAAACATATATATTAGTTCCGTTGTCACGTGATTTGCAAAAGACTGTGCATCATATTGTTTAATGCGATCGATATCCGTGAGCAAATGATTGTATCTATTGTATTTATTTATAATATAGTAATAACATTGTCTGTTTTAATTAGGGCTGGTAGTTTCATTTAAATGGTAGGAAGGTAGTACGTGAACTAATCAATGCATCTGCTGACATGTCTAAATATTACGAATGAAAAGTACATGCATTTAAAACCTATCAGCCAGTAGTTTGATCAATATCATATTATAAATAATAATATTTTAAACTGACAATGTATGAGTCATAACGTGTTGATGAGACGTACCGCCAGTAGATTTTTTCTCTTTCAAGAAACAGTCAGCTTTACCAGAATACGGCGATCATATCTGTTCGTTGTTTCCTGCTCTAGCTGCATAATCAGCAGCAGCTGAAAACTTGCTTCTACGATACTTTTTTCCTAAAGGATTTTTGGACTGCGTGATGTACATGCGTCAACAGCAGAGTGCGAGGCTCGCAAACCCACCAAACCCGGGCACCCCTCTTGCCTCCAAAAGGTAGAGCGGTTGGGCAAGGCCTGATAAACCGTTCTACAACTACCCTCAACTTTCGTGTTCGTGTTTTTCGACGTCTTTTAACACTAAATAGAATTTGGATCTTGCGGAAGAAAAACTAGTTGCTGAGAATAAGCGTTTATAGTATTATTTTAGCTTGGATCATAGTCATAAGTGTAGCACATACATTCGGATGTAATATTGTGGAAATAATTTTTAATTTTTGTTTTGTTTCGAAATTGCGCAGTCAGCTAATTGCACGGTGATCGAATAACACGAAAATGTATGATCTGAAACGCTTCTGAAACGGCTGAGAGCGTTAACGCGCTCGTCCAAACCCAACCCATACCAACGACTTAAACGAAGTTATTGAAATATATAACATTAAAGTAATTCTGTACAAAACAAGTTATTTATATAAACGAAAAATAGTTTTTACTTTATTCGTATGAGATATTGCGTTACATTCATTCTTATCGTTCATCCATCGCGCGGTTCTCGATTTTTGCTTCGAATGTTAGAAAGCTTAGCAACAAATTTTCATTACATTAAGCATCTAAATATGTATCTTACAAGTTCTTTTTAATTATTTATTGATAACTACCAAATTGCTGGCTTGTTCATAATCCACAATTGTCTATGACATAGCCGACTTGGACGTGGTGTCCGAAAGGTTCGATATACTTTATAAGACATTTTAACTAATACCATGTCTACAAATTGAGCCTGTTTTCAAGCAATGTTTTTGTCTTCATGAAAAGTACCGTTAAAAATATTCCTGCGAAACATTTGCAGTGTTCAAATTTAGGTATCTCCGTAAGAGGTACCAAAACAAAGATGACTCAAAGATACGCTTATGTGCATCTACGGAGCGACTATCGTTAAGTGCAAATTGCGCATTCGTACTTTCCGTTCATATTTACATACTATAAATCCGCGTAGATTGTGACATATACGAGCTTGGTCATAATTAAGACTATGATATGCTTTGAAACAGAATACTTCCACGAAATGTATTCGTTTAAGCACTAAATGCGATGAGCAAACCTGAGAAAAAACCTGAGCCTTCAATAGGCAATAGAACTAACTACGTTAAAATCTTCGAGCTTAGTCCATACTTTGGAACTCATCTACAAAACTAACAGAACAAAAGTGTTACGACGTTTCACTACAGCATAATCATACGTACAAAGGGGTGAACCAATGCCCCAATCGGCGAAGCATACCCTGAAAGGTTACCTCACGAATCCAGTGATCATAAGATTCGCCATGCATACTCCCAGAAATTTGTCATACGCGCCTCCCTAATATTTAATTCATTTCTACATAGAACAAAGTATGTTCAATAGACACTCGATAATTTGATTATCCGGTCCGATGTATCTGTAATACACAATCTGGACACTGAGTACGAAAAAACACGATGGGGAAAAACGTTCAGGCTGAGCTGGTTCTAAAATGCTGCTTCGAATCAGGCTCTTGACGGTTAGCCACACCTCTGCTTTTTTTGACCATTTTGACACCTCATCGTGTGCCTATCGTGGTCGGACGAATGTAGGTCAGTAGCTCGTTGATTCTAGAGTTAGTTTTAATAGGCCGTTATTGACGTCGATGGGCGTACCGATGTAGGTGATGGAGCTATCGTTTTAGTCGTTGATATACTAGAGCCGTCCGATGGGGTAAGCATTCGTTCAAACCACTGTCACGTCTGGAACTATGTCATTTGAGTTCTGAATCCAATGTAGTTCCAGTCTGACTCCATCGATTACTAATGGTGTGCAGCTGAGCCTGGCATAACATCAACGAGGTATAATTGAATGACCTAAGATTAGCTTGGCAGATGCCAATTATACATGTCCTGTGAAGCTGGAAAAATGGATGAGTAACTAACCTATAATAGAAAAAACAATAAAGCATCCGGCCATGACCCCATAAAAAATATAAAATCGAAAAATAAATTACCTTTAGGTAAAAAAAAATTCTTTCCACAAAGTTTCTATTCTAAATAAGGCAAATGGCAAGTTATTAGTTTGACTAATTACCGAAAAACTGCGTAGAGAAGATTCTCGCGCCGTGTAAACGTTACAATGGCCTTTCTGTTGTCTGTTATTTTTACTCGTAACGGCACCAGGTCACAATTCGGCTGAAACATCAACCGCTGAAATATGTCCCAGCTGTTAGCCGTCGATGGAAGATTGTCCAGAACTAGCTCGCACAGCTGTGCAAAATACAACACACATAGGTTATATTGAGATTTTTATCTTTACTTTAATGTATGGCCTTCGCGAATATTTATCATGCAAATCGTCACTTCTGAATTACATCAAGTAAGCAGTCAATGTAAGGATAAGAAAAAAAAACGTATCAACTGTAAATATTCGCTTTTTCTCGAAACAAAAACTTACATAGCACTTATATGTCAAAGGACGTTTTCTGTTACATACAAATAAAATATAATCGCAAGAATACTGATTTAGTCTGAAACAAGCACACAGACGACATGAGCTTTGTTTGTACAAGCAAACCGTAATCCACGCGCCGTATCCGAGGCGCCAGCCCCCCCCCCCCACTTAGCACTGTGCTTTTTGGTTGTCAATGCTATCATTTGCGCTGTTCATTTTCGACAGTAGTAGGTACGGGTTATATACACCAGTCATGAGTAGCTACGATTGGTTTTTATGGGTGGCACGTATTTCGTACCTTTCGAGCGGCGGGATCTGCGACGTCCCCATCATAGCGGCTGTTGAAGGAGATATTCAGTTCGAATCCTCCAAGAAGTGTCTGTAGCTTCTCCAAGACGCCGTTGCTGGTAAAATAACTCAAAGTGGCCGCAGCCCACCTATGGAGACATGTGTATGACTTCTGAGTAAGTACGACTTCAACTGAGCTCACCGCTGTATTTCAGAGGACCCACTTGTGTCAGATTAACATCCTACGGACAGGCTAAATTTCACCAAATCCAAATTATCCCTTATTATTTTTTATAACTGCGATCACATGCCCATTGAGTGTCGGAACGACTGAAAGCCTTACGAATGACCGCTTCTGCTGCATAACTGTATCTAGATCTAGAATAGTTTGTTCAAATTAGTAAATGTGGCTGGATCTGAACTTTGCCCGCAGTCCACTCTGTATTAATCAAAAAACGTTTTGTGATTGGATTCTTTCATGAACGTTTAGCAGCGCATACGTGTCGTTACATCCATTCTTGAGTAACCGATAGACTTCATGCTACTCACGAATGTCGCTCAAAGTAAAAGATGCATGTGCCATATTTGCTGTTAATGTCAAGGGTCTCGAGATGACGTATTAAGCGCATATCACAGGCCTTAAGGACGTCCACGACAGCATCTCGGACAGCAACCGTCTCCACACCGGCTGGCAGCCCATATAGAAATAGCATTTTGTTAGAAGCGTTTTCTTGTCCTAGAACAGAGACGTGTGCCGCTGCAAGCGCAGGCGCAAGGAACCACCAAAGAAACAACGATCAGATTAACTGTAACATAGATGTTTCGTTTATACGTTCCTCAATTTTATCAATGATAAAGCAATTAGAGTAAATAACAAAAAATTTAGATGAAAGAAAAAGTGAGGTGCATAAATTTTGTTAAATATTAATAACTAAGCCTCAGGACACTATAAGTTATCTTTTGATTTGACTTCTAAAATATGCTAGCCGTACTGAAGGGTCTCCGATGCACATTTAGAAAATCAGCTTCACCAGGATAACAAGCAAAGTAAACAAAAAGCACCGACTACTAATTCTCAATGATCTAAAACACTTACGAAGTGTCACACCGGCGGCGATTGAGGAGCACGATTCAGATGAAGCCGAATAGCTTGAGTACAAGAATGGGTGTCGTGTACATCTGTTGTCCATGTCTATTCCCAAAAAAAGCTAACCGTCAAGAATACAGTCACTACAACAGAAATTTAGACTAAATGGTAAGGCTGAAGTATTTTTCATTCATTCATTCATTCATATACAAAATAAATTTTAATAGGCGATCACTTTTTACAAAGGCCGCTATAATTTCTAGATTAACACAATTTCAAATTTTTCCTATCACGAGTGTTGAGGTCAAATCATTTTCATGTTGACCTTATTGAGGCTAAAGTGACTGTCTCTGTATCATCAAAAATTAGCACAGGACTAAATTTAGCGGTATTTGGTCTGAGGCTTGCCAAAACTTCGAAAAAAAGCAAATTGTTCGGACGCAAAGTTCAACAGTATAGACAGGCCTCACGTTTTATTAACGCATTAGGCTCTAACAGACACATAGACTTAGCATTTACATTATGTGCGCAAAGAGACCAGCAGCTGGCGAAGGCGTGCTAAGTTACCGTGCGCATGTATTTTAAATTTATTGCACAATTCACAGCTATCGACCCGTATCGACTATGAAGCAAAGTGAATTTGAAAATGTTTATTGTAAATTGAATTCAATGTATAACACCAAAATAATGCAGGAAAACTTCAACAACTGATGAGACTACTTAACGAGTACAATAACATGATGATTACCCTAATTTTTTTTATAGCTTGTATGTTTTTACTCTTAGCGTTGCATATGATATCAATTTTATTGTGCATATACATTACTAATATCTATATATCATTTACATATGAAGAAATTTTCTATTTATTTTCCTATCATAATTTGGCACTTTTTTTTATTCTGTTGATATTGCCACGGCGCCGATCTATTGCATTAGCGATAGACGCATGTTCAAATAGTTGAACTGCCACAGTGTCTGCAAAAGATAAAGGGTTTTCACAACAGAATCCGCCAACTGAAGTAAATACCTCATGACATGTTGAATCGTTTGAGGCAGAAATTAGGACAAATTAATGCATACTGATGAAATATTAGGAAAGTTTCGCATTTAGCCAGACAACGGGTTTGGTGTGCATAGAAAGATAAAAAACGCAAAAGTAAGCCACAATTTTAGTTTTGATCTGCCTATTGACCAAAGCGGCCGAGTTCAGCTCGTTCTATTTGTCTCTATATTATACTGTTAAAGGTAAGAATTCGCTCGCTAGTAGGGTCTTTGGAGCATTCAAGGATCTCTTTGGCACAGAATTCAATACCACTCGTATAATTGTTTTAGCTAAAAGGGCTGTCATAAGGCATCCTTATATTTTTTTAGTTTTTTTCGCAGTTATCATACAGATCGTTAATTTGTCAATCATTATCTAATCATGACCTTTGTCTTGTATCAGTTGCATATACAAGAAGTAACAAAGATTGGCATGACATAAGAAGAACAATAAAAACGGCAACTGAGCTTATGCTCATGTGGACGCAAATTCTCGCTGTAACAAAAAAAAAAAAGAAATAAATAACGCCTGAACATAAATAGCAAGGAATCTTTAGGCGTATGTTTAAGCTTTTGTTCGCTTGAAAAGCCAGCACAGTGGACTTCACAACCACGAACAAACGCGAAGCATATCTGTGTATTCAGTTCAACAAAAATTGAGCGCAACGTTTGCTTTCAGTTGTCGTCGATACAGAAACGCGACAAAACTGTTCAGCCTTCGGGAACAAAATGGTATAGTATGTATATATATATACATACATAAACACTGCGTCGCAGGATTTTTGTTAAGTTTTTACTATAAAAAATATAGTTCGACATACAAATCAACAAGACTTGTATGCGCAAGCATCCACCTTTCTGCCATATCATTGCTGTTACATAAGAATGAAATAAAATTGACCGGTATTGCGACATAAGGCATAAGCATGCCCACAATTGAAGCGCACTTTTTGTATAGATAGAAGTGTTCATCAACCAAATTATGTATCTAAGACCTCTGTCAATTTATAAAGAATTGTCAGTTATGAGTCGAAAAAAGCAGTATGTTGTTGACAGTACGTGGCAGACAGAGTGGCAGAATTTTTAACGATTATGAAGTTGTGTATTGTTATTTTTCAATATAAATTACTACCAATAAAAGTGAATAAATGAAACTTGGTGTTTTGTATCATCCAGTTGTACAATAGCAGTTATGAAATAAAATTCCCGACAATTTAGCTCTGTCATGATAAACAGGATTCGCCAGGATTCGATGACACCTCTAGCAGTCAACAGTGGAAACGGGTTATGCGGCACTATTCGAAGAATTTCTATAAGTAAATGCACTATTGTACCTGTGTGGCTGTCTGTCGGATTCGAAACATTCGCCGCTTGTAACCTTCAAAGACTATAGTACATCACGTTGACAATACAAGGACTTTGCGTTCTCGGAAATACACTTCAAACACCTGGGAACAAGGTGGTGAGGACTTTGTTCACCTTGCTACCGAACAACAATAACTGATGCATTCTGCAATCGACTGGCAGAGTTACATATTCGACCTTTGGTAACGATTTTGTGTTACGCACTGACGTACACAAAAGACTTGATAGGGGAAACACTTTTTTGCGCGCACCACTCTGACCGAACATGCACGCGTTGGTGAGGCGGACATTACATGCTGGTTATTTGCTACACACCATGCATTATGTTACTGCGACTGCGTCTATACGATTAATATTGGAAGGAAACTTGACGTTTCATTTGTTAATTGGCTTTCTTAATTGTATTAAATTTAATAGTTTATATTTAGATATTCAAACGTAACCTATATTTGACTTCATGGGTAGAACTCCGCTATGAAAAACTTGTTTTTCAATATGAAAATATTAAAAAAAACCATCACCTTTCTAGTAAAGAATAAACATGTACATTTTTAAAGGACATGAAGTGCACACGTTTAATTATTGTACACTGCGGTCATTTCGATGAAAATCTAAAGTCTTTGTCACACATGAAGGTCCAGTTTACTCAGCGATATGCATTAGCATCTTTGATCTTTTTTTTCCGCCTACTTGAGCAGAAGTGGTGAAGTCATTATCTAGAAAAGTGACGGGGCTTGATCAAGTGCGTTGTTACATGAACGATTTTTCGTACATATTGACCTCTTAGCTTAGTAAGGTTATGACAGCAACCTACATACGTTCAACGTACGTACGGGAAGATTATAAGTTTAGAAGCACTACGTCAATATGGAGTGGCATATTTATATAGTACTTTCTCTATATAAATGATAGAGATCTCCGAGGTAGTGTTTTGCAGATATGTCATTTTGCTGGGCGGAAAAGTCCTCGAAAACACCCCATCGATTTATTATCAAGGTCTTGCCTGTTCACCGGAGGAACTATTCAGAAATAGTTTTTAGGTATCCTTTAAATGCTCTATAGTGTTTTGAGGACTTGACAGATTTATTTCGAATTTGGTGAAGCATAAATTAAAGGTGCAGTCGACAGATGTATCTAGAGAACAATCCGATTTTCTATGCGAGCTGGCTTGCGGGTCCCAGTTACCCTATATATAAACAGACATCTATGTTGCGTATTGTACAGCATTCGTAACTACGAAAAGATTAATTTATGCGGATTGTAGTGAAAGTTATTCTTAAAAGGAGCTGTATGCCTTACGCAGATGGCAACTGTTGGCTGCAGAAATGGCGCATCGTCTTACGGTAGTTGAGTGTTGCATATTTCCCTCAGCCTGAGAAAAAGTAAAAACTGATTGTTTGTGCGCAGATAATTATTTGAAATGAGCTGGGCAAAAATTCGAAAACTTTTGTGCAGCGTAAGTTGATTAAATTTGAAAGAAAGACTGGATTGGTGCCTGATATCGTTATCTCTGAACTGAATCCAAACGTATGCGTAGACCAATTTTATCTGACAACAAGCACTTCAGAAGCAATTTGCGTGAAAAAAGTAAACAGACAAAGGCCAAACGCAAAGCTGCTTAATGTATTCTATCCCAACGGAATAATGAAAGCATGACGATATGTTCGTTCGATTATGTTTTTTTTTTCTATACTTTGTATTTTGGCGTGCCTAGAGAAAGAATTACTCTAAAGCACCTTCATGGCAAACGTATATATCATTACAATTCGCCCGAGCAGCGAAACGTTCATCAATGTACAATGTTTACTGTCTCCAATTCGAATTCAAAAGGTTTCAAATAATACCGGTGAAGTCACTGTAAGAAACTAAAACTTTTGCTGCATTTACAATCTTATCTCGAACGAATCATTCCGCACCTCTTCGCCCTTCTAGGTAATTTCAAGATGCGTCCCTGTTATAACTGCGTATCAAGCTTAGGGACCCGCTAAATAGTCTAGGTTAACAGCCATGCCTGCAAAATGTTGTTGGCCCAATTGTTTGATTTCGTTTTTGCTAATCGTACCAAATTTAATAGTGAAATAACAAATATATAATAATAATAAAATAAAATACCTCTATTTCTTTATATGTACACAATACCATATCAACATTGCAGCTAAACGCAACAAGCGTATTGTATTGCACACCTCCGGTATAGATAACGAAGTCTTTTTCGAAATAGATAACCCTCTGAATTTAAGCCTTTAGAGTCAGAACTAGTAACTTTTTATATTTCTGTATTGATTTCACTATTCGGTATCCAATACTGGAACATTATATATATAAATAGATTTTCATACTCGATTAATTGACATTCGCAGACACGGTGTATCATATATAATAACGCAGTCGTAATCGTTTTTAATGAGTGCACAGGCCTGTAAAATAATATTATTAATAATATATTATATTTCTATCAGTATTGATTCACTTTCAGCTTCCTTTCGACAATGGTTTTTAGCTGCCTAAAAATCCCCGCCAAACCGAACTGTTTAAAGTATCGAAGATCTCTCTTTCGGTCGCTTTTGATGACGAAGTAATGCTTAACGCGAGCGTGCTTCATTGTCTTGCATGTTCGCTTCCAATGGGGGATATATATAGATAAACCAGATATCTTAAAGAACTGTTTTGCGTAGGTTAGGACTGTTATTTCTGACGGTCATCTTTATTCAGTACAATTACTCTTTACCGTTCTAACATTTTGAACCCCAAACCACTAACTTTTCCGAAATAATTTTTTTCTAATCTGCAAAGAACTTTTAATCTATGGACTACTGGATAATAGCCGATCCTTGTTCATATCGTTTTCCGCCATGATAAGTTTTGTTCTTTAATTCTCGAAAAAACTGGCTTTCCTTAATGCATTGAGACTGGCGGAGGGATGCATAAGATAAAAAGTTCGCCTCGTGAACTGCCATGGTAACTATGAATATGCAGACATCGCTAATTGAATTCCGTTGCCGGTAAACGCTTAACAGGGCCTATGATTGATCTTACAACTCATCATTTTGCTAAAAAATGCCCAAATTAATCCAGTAAGACCCTCCCCATCCGGACCTTTTTATAAGGGCGAGTCGTTGATGCTATACTGAAGAGGTAACTAAAGAGAATTTGTTTACACAGTAGAAATAGCCAAGGCGTTAACAAAAGTAAACAAGAAACAGACGGCTCCAAACGGAGCACGCTGTACATATATATTAAAGCCAACGATCAAGCGGACACACAAGACATCCAATGACTTGACCTTGGCATCTAGGCGTCTACGTTGTCGGAGCACTGGCAGTAAGTAACGTGTATTACATTCAAGATCAAGACAAGTCAGGCAGCACAATATTTTTTGTTTTTTTACCATCTACAACCATAGAGAAATAATCACTTCACAGCGCGAAGATTTCTATCCTATTTTTTTTCTACGTTTCATGTTTTAACTGAGACTGAAGGGCGTCCTATAAATGTCTAGGAAGTGACCGATGGCCCGAATAAGGTAGCGAATGTCCCGCTTCTATTCTATAGCAAAACATATGTTAACGTTTCACTGAACAGCGTGTTTAAAGCTTAGGTTCCTTTGCAAATAGAATTAAAAATTAAACACATTTCTGAAGTAGAATCCAAATGCTATTCAACGATTGACATCGATCAGTTTAGGAAGAACTTCAACACTAAAGACTGTCCAGGCGAGTTGCGATGAGTCGCAGCTGTCTTCGAAAGTACTTACTCGGTAATGCTACGTTATTATTGGACAAAAGAACACGAACAATTGACGAAATATATTAAAAGTAGTCGAATGGTGATATGCATGTAATGTTGCTGCGGAACTATTACAACAGTATCCTATCAAAAGAAATGTGCACCACCACTAACTAATTTTTTGCCGAGGCATGATATATGGACTGGAATTCAGCTAGGGTTATAAACCATTCCTACAACTAAGAGAATTCTAACCCTACGAGGATTGGCCTTTTTTGTGTGACATGGTGTAATAGTGGCTATCTTGTTTGGATATTTTATATAATGAAAGACATTTATTAGCGTGAGCTTTATTTATTTTTGAATGCTTACTCTTTGATGGGACAGAAGCCTTGCAATAGTAGAACCCATTTACCAACACCAATTTTTTTCACCGAGGTATGCGTGATCCAATCCCAAGCATTTTTTAACAATACGGAAGTTTGAATTCAATCTGCCAGAATCGGACAGTCTTTAGGAGTTCTCGGCACCCGTTCCAAAGAGAGGAGTGAACCTTATAGAAATATACAGATTATAGTGCTACGAGTTTTCTATGCTAAAGATCGTTAAATATACTGTTGTATAACTTTTTGTCAGAAGCATCAATCCTTGTAGACTTTCCTGAAGGCCCTGAACAGAAAATTGTTTAACAGCCATCCATGTGTGTCAACGATGTAATGATGACTAGAGTTTAAATTGCTCCATGTTCCAAACTACATCTCTATAGACGAAAAAATTTAAACGATCTTTACACTGCAATTAAATATAGTGATTATGGCTTTTCAAGGTTTTATTATTATTGTAAGAATTATTCATAACATTTCTTTGATCTCTGCCAAAATTAAACTGGTATTATATTCATTTAGGTTTATCACGACAAGCTGAATCTAAAAATGGACAAACGAGCACTTTGTTTAGCCAAGGAAGTTTTTTTTATTTGTTTTCAAAAAACCTATATAACATTTCTACGTATGCTGCGTGAAATAATTTTTATTAGAAAGACACAATTCAGCTTGTTGAGCTTCGGACGCCATTGAGAACCTCGTAAATGACACACGGACAAATAGAGCGGGCTTCTTAGACTAGGTCAAATCTCGCCTTGATGGCTTGCATATCTCAAAGTAAGTGCGAGATATAACACTAAAAATACGATAAGATAATAGTAACATAATTTAGGTTATTCTATTATTGCTTCTGATGTAGCTGTGATTTCGACTGCTTCGACGGCTTGCGTGCATACATAAATAGTTTTATCATGACGGCATAACATCGAAATCGAGTATCTTGCTTTCACTTAATTTTTTAACCTTTTTCCAAAACCTCCGTAATCTCAACTTGACACACATGATGAGCAACGAATAATTACTACGCTTATGCTTTTTCAGGCGCCAGAATATTTAACATCTTTTACCGAATGCTCAAACAAATATTCTCAGCACCAAAAAAAACAGCAAACGTTCGCGTAATGCTGAAAGTTGTGCCAAATCCTACACCGAAGAAGCAGACGTTCGATGCTCGACTTTCCTACCGTGCGATAAATATTGTGGCTAGTAATGATGCTAAAAGGTAGGGAAATTTGACGGGAATCGTCGGAATGCGTGCACTGCCTACGAAAGAGAATAAGGGATCCAAATGATTAAAATGTGTTAAGAGAAAAGGAAGCTCTTTACTGAGCTAAGTGCGATCTGATCCTGCTTTTACCGGACCGTGTATCTTGCCATATGGACGTCACTGTATGTTCGCTGTTAATGCGGCCATACCATAGTGCGAACAGTGGTTCTGACACACTTTCCTGTGTAAACTATATTTAAAATAGTAGTAGACGTTTAGTTACAATACCAAGTCAAATATATTCTCTATGTTACTTCGGCATATTCTGATTGATCTAATAGCGATTTAATTAATTTAGAAGTTTGCAGGTAAGTTTGAAGTGTTTTACATTTGTTAAATATTATAGACGTTCGTCTTAATTTATTCCACTTAGCGTATACGGCAGGCATTTTTGACTTCAATCTAGCTTGCGTTGGGGTTTAAAAATATGTATTTGGACATCATTATAAGCAGTTTATAGCAAGAATGACGAGATATAATGTCCTTTAAGTTTCCTTTGTTTCCATGATCGTTGTTGTGCGTTCGTCACATTGCGTATAATGGGAGACAGTCGGAAAATTGGCCTACAAGGGCCTGGAAAAGGTTGCTTACAATGTCAATAACGCGGCGCGCCATTCTGTCATGGATTTCAGATTAATGTTTCAGTTGTCCACGATGGACTTTCCTATCTTTAGTGCCAAAGAGATCCACGCTCTGATTACAAAAGCTGATGATAATATTTGGGTAGTTCATGCAACGATACAAACAATTATGCGGCTCATTTATTAATACTACTCGTATATATAATTGCCTAAATAAGCACACCGAGCCTCAGCTACAATCTGAAACGACTCTATGACACCTACTGGGGTCCGTGCAGGTACAGAATTCAATATCATCCTGACCTAGAGCAACTCAAGATAAAAGTGTACTGAATGTAGTACTGCCCATTATATGACTTTTCATATTAATCACAACCCAGTTATAGTATCGGAAAGCAGCAAAGAAAAGCATTAACTTGCTCGAAAATGCCCTGCCATGTCCCATGAACATGTTGCTTTTACAAGTTTACTCTTTAATCACAGTGCACATATGTAAACCCATTCATTGTAAAAACGTCAGCCATTTTATAACATATTATCTCGTTACAAGGACATCTTATTGTAGGACATAAGCAACATAAGCTCTATTGGCGAGGATACAGTGAGTACATCGCGTACAAAACGGCATCCTGTGCCTCATTCCGTTTTTGTTTTAGTACGAACAAAAGGCAACTGCGTATTTCGCTCGTTAATGATTCATCAGACCACAGAATTTGACCCATAATAGATTAAGGCTATCGCGGATGACGCATCCAAGTGTAACATTTTCAGCATCAAATACCTAAACCAGTTTGAGCATCTTCCCGGTGAAACCATCTTATGAAATAGCAGTAATTCAAAAGGCAAAGGTGAACTGGCTCCTGAATGTGCTGCGCTTTGCCGACAGACGGAGCTTGAAAATGCGAAAGATTGCCATGACTTCGATATCTGCCCGAAGTCGCAGACTTGCATTACTAACGTTAGGTAACGCCATCTTGTCGCTTTAAAATATCAAAACCTGTGATCATTGCGTTCTATATTTCATAGCCAGTTAGTAGGTCAGCGACAAATACAGACTCCAGGCGGGCTGCATAAAGTCCGCGGCGCCAAACATTGCGGCGAGGTAAGTAATAATAAGTAGAACGGTATGACGCGCTGCCACATCCCGAATCCATCCAAATAAAAGGAAACATGTTATGTAAATGACTTTGTACACAAGCTTACCCTTGATACTATAAACTATCGTACATTGTATACGATTAAGCAACCAAGATCGAAGTTGAATCGAGTTTAAGATGATAATAATCGGTAAATATAGGGGCAAAGGGCCCCACGGGAAGCAGTAGAACGGTTGGGCTAGCATAGCAGGTAGGTAGTTTGGATGAAAAATGAAAGTAGGCAACAGCGCAAAAGGATGTCCTACGGCACGTCTAGGAGTTAAGACTGACATAAGGTATCAATCTTGTGGGGAAAGACTTACAAATACTTTCATATGCGCTTTTTAAAACACGAAGCTAACCAAAGCTGAAACGGTACCTGTTTTAGTACAGGTAATCGTATAAAAGCTCGATTCGAGTATTGCACACTAAACTGTGTTGTTTTAAAGATCCTGCATCCTGATATGCTGGATACTTTGTTGTTAATTCATGTTGAAATAAAACCTGCAATATTTCGTTTCGCCAAACTTATCTGTTCCACTTGGACAATAAGCAAACTTCACGAAAGGTGATTGCGAAAGGTGTGACTAACGGAATCCAATTTCTTAAGTTGTTTCTGCGGTAAGACAAGGAATTCTGAAACCAGTGTCATTCGATATATTTTACTTCTAACTAGAAACATTCCAGCTTTTTTAGCCAATACTTACTAATAATTCTTTCAGAAGTATATTCGGCGCTGACCTTTCATTTACCAGCGTTCATATGGTTTTCCATACCTAACAAAAACGCATGATAATACACAAATATATTTGCACAAATTATATTCAGTCATATTTGAATATAATAATATCAGTCAAAATCATATTTTTGACCATATTCCGTATGCCAAATAACCATTACGATATTTCTTCATAGTCATCAAAATCATTGAATTTTCTGGACGTCTTAAACTTTTGGAACACATTGTATTCTAAACCCTTCGAAATCTTTATGGATCATTGCGATTTCCGATCCTAACAAAACGTCCACACATTAATACTTAATCAAAGTGATGTGTATTTTATACCCTTATGTTGTATCTATAAGCATGTGGTGGTCATAATTAGGACGGACGACTGTGTGTTTCGTACAACTCTTTTTCCATTTCCCTTTAGATTAAGCATTTCCAAGTAAGTATAATTAGGAATAGCTTTTTTGCATAATTGATCACATAATATTTTGCGCGGAATTACTACATAGACCTAACACCAACTATTTCAAGGGGTAATTGTCTCTGGTTTTTACTCCTGTAAGGCAGATGTTTGCGTGACGCGATCATTTTTGACTGAGTTGCGTGATTAACCCAGTCCTTTTTGACTGGCGCGAATGAATACAGCCCAAGCCATAGGGAGATAATTCGTATGTTTATCTTTCCAATGTAATTTAGGATAAAATCGCCTTCAACAAAAGACTAGTTCGGATTTTTTGCTAGAGTCTATCTCGCGAAGTCTAATCGCGAGTATCAGCCTACTAACATTGTTTCGATAAAAAAAAGGCAGCTATGGTAAAATGCTTACTTTCCTAAATCAGCATAATATTTCCTACGCCTACAGAAGCACGTTACTGTCTTTTGAACAGACACGTAATAACACAGCTTTTGAAAGAAATGGATTTGATAGCGCACCTCAACAAGGACAATACTGACAGAAATTCCCAAGTTATCCTGTACAGTCTAAGACAGAAATCCCGTTAAACAGCAAGACCTAAAAAGAGACCCTGTAGACTGAAAAAAAGTATATTCCGTGGAACAGCCTCCTCTCTTTTGAGAATGAGAGAGCCTTTGTGAGACAGCAAAGTCTTTAGCCTGTGACAGAGATCTTTGGACGTTTGTTTTAGATGTCATTACGAATTCATGATGTAGAGTTCCAATTGTTGTAGTCGTTTGAGATCTATAACTTTTTACAAAGGCTGAATATGTACGTATATGATATTAAAAAAAAAGGAGTCAGCCGTTAAACAACTATTATTTGTTTTGATACTGGTACTAGCAATAAATGAAGTAGACGTGCTGCATACCGTAGTCTTGTGGACTAAGTATATGCTATTGTGCCATTCTCAAAGAACTAACCATTTTTTTTGTTGAACTTTGGTCTTGCACGTTAAATAAATAAAGATGCGTTCTGTAAATAATTAGATATACAAACAATGTATTGTTTAGAAAAACATATGAATGAATACATATACATATGGACTGAAGCCGATGGATGATTACATGATGATGCTGAGATCGCGTCTCGCGAAAGTCCTCATACGCGGCGCTTCACCGTACTGATATACAAAACTGCAAATAATATTAACCAATGAAAGTAACGAAAAAACGTTAATCCAGGTTACCAATAAGACGGGACAACAAGTGATTGTTTTAGAAATCAACAATACACAGATGTAGTTTCAAATAGAGCTCGCAAGGAAGTCTTTTGACTACAGGTATCCGGTCTACAATAATGCACTGTTTATCTTGTGTTGTTTATTGACTATTTTATTCAGTAAGATTTATCAATTGTACTATAAACCATACTGCCGCAGACAATGTAGCAAAGCTGTAGCAAAAACTGAAATACATTGGAATAGTAAAAAAAATGGGAATCACATAAAAACAGTCCAATCAGCAATTAGCGAAGGTATCCACGGCCTCATTTTAATGGTTAAAGTAACAGTATCTGTGAGACTGGAGATCACTGTTCCGAGCTATGCCATATAATACACCTGTTGTCTGTGCAATAATGGGAAATGAAAAATTCGAATATTATACATAAATATTATTCCTAATGTTATATATACGTATATATAACATTAGGATATATATATATATATATCACGCGTGGTACAGTATCATATATAAAATATATGATACTGGACCACGCGTGAAAGAGATTTTTTCAAATATAATCTTTCCTAGAAAATTAAACGCACCATTGTTCCCGCGGATGAAGGCGTCTCCATACTTGTTTTTGAGTTGTCCATTGACATATTCTTCTGTTTGCTCCAGTGCAATGTTCATATACCTGAAATTATTTAATAACCAGCATTATTCAGCTATAATACACGTGAAATGTGGATAGTATAACAACAAGCTAGCTCAAGAGATCATCACGATTAGTACTAGTTCTGTACATATGTAGATTAGTAAAATTCCGAATCGGAATTCCTAAACCGTCTAAAGTGCCCGAAAGGAGTGAATTTAAAATGTTACAGATACAGATATTACACGTAACTGCTCTGACCGTAGAATGCATCTCTTTGCTAAAAGGCTTATAAGCCGTTTTGTGCCAAGGAAAAGAATGTAAATGTTTACCAACTAGAACTTACACTTTAAATAGACTTACCCATCTAGGCACGAGAGAACACCTCGGTAGTCGAGTCCGTTGTTGAGCTTTACAACAACGGGACGACCTACAAGTTGTTTCAGAAAGTCTGATGTCGAAGTTTTGCGACTCATGATTGTCTTCTGGGCAATTTTAACGGACTGAACTTCCTAGAATGACTTTATAGTTATTATTAAACAGTTACTGGCTATTACTTGCCCTATATTACTAAATATAATTTTTGGCAGGCTTAAATATTATATTCGTATCTGTGTTCCTAAAGAGATCAACCGGAAATACTCATATTTTTTTAGTATTAGAAGACATGCACCGTAAAAACATGTTACATACGAAATAGTTATCAACGGTATTACCGCAGACATGCAAGTTGTGAAACTTAAACTTGTGAATTTTTCAAATAATAATAATAAGTATTTTACAAATTCTCAAGTTAGCCTGAAATTTGCCCTCCCGTCCACACCGTATAAGAGGTTTACACGAAACATTTATCGTAGACAGACTTTTATCACCATCGGTTCAAGACCAGCAATTTGCAAGTCAAGAGTACAACGCACGATAGTAGTCACCATTATCTACACAATTGTCATTAAATATGGAATTTTATATGTTTAGTATATCACTGAGGACTATCACCACAAGGCAAGGCAGCGCGGAGCTTAATAGATTGCCTATGTACGAGAGCTTCAACAAATATTTGGTGTTTACGATTAGCATCTTTACCTCTATGAAAAGTGCCTGGAAACGCTCAACCTTCAGAATAGACACCTAGAGTAATTCACGCTTTAATGTCTATCGATTATAATAAGTTCCGGAAAAACAATTTCCTCTCTTTCGTTCTATTGACAAATACTTAGCAGACAGCAAAAGAAATAGAATACAATATGAGAAAGGGGCGAGTGAGGTCATTTAAATCTTCTGGCGGGAACTAATAATTAAACATAATGCATATATAATAATGCATAATTAAACTAGTCGAAATGTATTGACTACATTTGGTTTACTGGACAATTTTAGATGAGTGAAGTAAAAGCGATTTTCGTCATCTAGCCTAAGAGCTGCATGTATAACTCAAAGCGTTTATATAGCACAACACGAATGTTGCTTTGCTGATGGAACTGCAATTTAGGCACTCTTGAAGTTTCTGTGAAAATGAATGAAAAATGAATATCATATTGTATACTTTTTGCATGGGTACTCTTTTGCTTTTTTCTTCGCCGTAGTCATTGTATTAGTATGACACAAGAGGATAACTAATTAAGATATTAACAGATTATTAAGAACACGGAAAAAGCAAAACGTATATACGTTTTTAGCCAGTAGACATCATCGTTTCCAATTTTAATAACCCTGTTCCTAATAATCAAGGCTAGTCGAAAGGTACCTTATAGAGGTGTTTGTTGTAGGCAATGAAATCAAATTTTTGTGTCAATGAAAGATGAAAGAGTTAAGAATAGATGGTGTACACGAACTGTCGAGGTTCCGATAATTTGAACGAATAGCTTTGTCGTGTCAGGATCGCCCATTTAATTACTTTTCACAGTAGTTATTACGGAGTGACTTCTAATAATGTTATCGCGCTATTGCGTAGTGTACGATTGCTGGTCTTTACAGTTAGTTGTCGTGTGAACTGGGCATTGAAAGTATCCAACCTGAAACATTCGACTGGTAGGATCTTCGTTGAGCATACGTGCATAACCGTGGAGAACTTCTGCCTATTTATCTTCCTTTTGTCGTTAATTGATAAATATGTCAATCAGCTAGTAAACTGGGGGTTTGAATGGCATTGACAGCTCTTTGTCGTATAAAAACTTTGTCCCAAAGGAAAATTTAGAAAAAAAATGTTGCTTACGGGGTATAAACTTTATGTCTCGAATATCTCGTCTATGCTCTCAAAGAGCAATATTTGATAAGATGGACCGTGAAGTCAAACTAATTTATGGAAGCCTCTGACTACATGTATTCAAACGATGGATGGTAGATTTTATTTCTTCGTCCTACCCAGATGCGGTGAGTATGTTTTCATGGGTGATTGCTTCGCTTAGTTAAAATGGCTACTTATTCATAGCTCTGACGTGTGCTTCATACAGACCCATTGAGTCAATCCTGACTTTTTGGAACTTTAGGTCCTCTCTTCAGTATGTAATACGTATCTCCTCATTAGTAGTCAGACTAAAATAACGTAACCGTAAGTTTCTTTAACGCACTACAACTAACAGATTTATCATTTAAAATATTTATTAAGGCGACATACACCACTACACTTTTAAAACAAAACAATATTTCCTACAAGCAATCAAAACTGTTATTAAGATGTGTTCATTTGTATAATTATTGTAATTCCTTTCTCTTAAATAATTTCTCGATCTTCACCGAACTTAGCACTCGCCTAATAAATCATCATCAAAGAGTACACCACTGATGAGGAATTACAAAGAAGCGTTTGTTTCGTGCTAATCCATCAGAAGCAGATTAATGAAAGATATCATCAAATCCACTTTTTTCACATCAAAAATCACCCTAAGCTATTTGGCCGTGCTGAAAGTTTAGTCCTTATATCGATGTCTCCGTGGCGCAATCGGCTAGCGCGTTCGGCTGTTAACCGAAAGGTTGGTGGTTCGATCCCACCCGGGGACGAAGTAGTGTACCTAAATAGGCAACATGTTCTACCTCTACTTTTTTTAAGTGGAATGCTTACCGTTTATTATTTAATTTGCACAAATGAAGTACTTTACATCTGTCGTTAGCGTTCAAAGCAATGATTTCTAGTCTCCTTCAGCCGGGGGCTTCCCAATTCATGCCAGCCTGTCGAAAGTGCTGTGCTTACCTTATGCACAAAGCCAATAGTGAAAGTTTAAACTACAGCTCAAATATAAAACACAGACACTGATTGAAAAGCAGTAATTTCGGAGAGAAGTGAACAAATGTAAAGTAGAAGACGCGTTAAGGCTCTATATAAACATTTTGGCTTTATTTGTACATTGATATATTAATGAGATTATGCCCAATTTACTACGTACATCGCCAATACCAGTAGCCATAATGATTCATAGTTCTTCACAAAACCTAACGATTGTGCATTTATTGCTTGGGGAATGAAATAATCGTACATCGATTTGTCTAATTTACGTGTATATCCGTGCGTATGTTGACAAAACAAATATTAATTAGTGAAGGTAAATAATAAATTGAGCTGGTGCTTAGAGGTAAAAAGTACAAAACCTCTCGTCTGTGATACATTGTAGTATAGCACAGGTTGGAGTGCAGAGAGTGAAGTTTACGTGAGCTTATTTTTCTGCGCCTCGGGAAAATAAATTACTATTATAGCAATCGTATATAACTAGTTACTGCTTGTAGACAAATATTTTAAATATAACTTTCTTATTATCATTATAAACCACGTTTAGACATGAAAAATATAAGCGACTTCAAATGTTAGTGCGTATCATCATTAGCATGCCCATGCATTATTGAACATTAATGGAACATATTTGAACTGATTTGTTACAGGTTCAACAAGAAATCAATCCTTCTCCACCTGCATCTAAAGTATAAAATTTTCTAGCTTTTCAAGCTCCGAAAATGTATATGATTTGTAAATCTATCTGACGAAATCAAGCATATGATCTTTCTTCTTTGGTTGTATTTCAGATGTGTACATGATATTCAACCAGCAGGGTGAATGGTCGCTAACGAAAACTGAAAATTGTCGACGGACATCGATGCGGAATACGTTGACGTGAACCGCTGTCTGGCTAAATTTTGTAGTAGGACAACCGTTGCTCCAACGCCTCAGCTTCTATAACTAATATTGACCATCAACGTGGATTCAACGAAAAGCAAAAACCCAGTCAATCTAACCCCTATATATTGTACGATTTTTATCTTGCCACAAAGTGTTCAAACGGCTCACTATTACTCAACATTTGTTTCTAATCTTATGTTTCTCGCATTTTTATGACTAATCTTTTTTTGAGCTTGTATCGATTCGGTCAGCTCTAGTGTTTGTACAACGGTAACTTTAATTGCATGAAAAAATTAGCTGAACATTTTGAAACAAAGCGTGTTTTATAGTATTAAATTACTACTGTCCAGTTGGTACCTGCCTTCGCTAGGTACAGATGAAGGAAAAAGGTAAAAATGACGCAATGGATAAATAAATGGTGTGACACACCTTAACCATGTAAATCCTTGTTGGGCTGCTTTCCGAAGGCGAAGCTTCTACGTATGATTCAAGCGGAAATCTTCCACAGTCTGTGCCACAGACCTGACCGATAAGTGATTAAATGGAGCAACACAGTTCCGCATGGCAACCCTCGCAAAGATACGGATCGAGTATGTGCGGATTTCAGCACTGATCCGGCGGGAGGCGAAAATGATAAGGAAGAAAGTCCTTTCACAAAGCGTGTTAATACGGCTTGCGGCAGCAGATTAGAAATATCATTGTCAAATATTGATTAAAATCGACACGCGAATTTATTGCTTAGCATGAAAGTTATTATTTGTTCATGCGTGACAAGAGCATTAAATGGAGGGTTGATTGTTGAGAAAGACACCATACAAATGAACAGACAAACGATTAGTGACACAGATTAAGCTGCTTTGTTACCATAACAGTTCCCGTTATTACTGTTGATTTTATCTTTTAGAGTACAGAGTCCCATCGTTGCCAGCCTAGTATCATAGACAAGCGAGAACAATTCATGGAGGTTGTACAGCTCAATGCGATGTGCGTACTAGTAAATGGGAGCTACAAAAACATTAGATAACTTTACCTGTCTTCAACGCACTAGTTGAATTCTACCATACAGCGAGTGTACACCACCTATATACACACGTATGCAGTTGTTATGCGCTAATAAAAGATCTGGAAGTATATCTTTAGAGGAAATGTGGTAGTTTTCGCCATTACACATATAATCATCAATATCGATATTCACTATACTAGCCTTCCCCTTCATGCAGACCATGAGCATGTGTTTTGTGTTCGATTTGCTACTAGAATTAGCGTATTTTATTTGTTTTTGTTATTGTTGTTGGTTTGTTTGTTAGAACGGCCATCTGCTGACGTCAGTTTTTTGCCCTACTAAAGATGCAACGGTGATACGTGCGTTATGCGCAGTGAATAGGGTCGTCATCTTCATATCCCATAAGCCGTCTTTGTCAGCAATGAAGCAGCAAGTGAAGCAATAGTGACATTAGACACAACTGCGGTTAGCTTCGTTGTCATCCCCACACAACGACGTTGTCCACAAAATTGCATACGATTCACTTGGCATCGCGCGAACTTCGCGATAGATCAGCGCTTGGGCGACCTTAGAAAATTGTCGTACCAACTCGCCGATCTACCGACACAACGACAACTGAAACGCAGCTCAGTTTAGCTTTCCTCCTGCCGCTTTTGTTGTGACAGGCGTTAGCGGAGCGTTGCAAATTTCTATAGATAGACAAACAGCCAGTCAAACGGTCAGACGAAGATAGACAGGCCCGCTGCATGCAGGCAAAGGCTATAACCAGCAACTTCTCATGAAAAAGGCAGCAGTCGTCACAGCAACGGCTGGTAGCAGCAACGTCAACCCCAGCCGTGCTGGGGCTGCCTGTGCGGCCCACGACGGGATGCTGCTGTTACCGCTTTTGCAGGCAAACTGCTTTAAGCAATTTTACAGCTCACGGCTAAAAAAAACCGGCTTCGCTAGCGCCATCCGCGTCGTCATCATAGGAGGCGTCCGCCGGCAGTGCCAACAGTTTACACCCATCTAACCAGTAGCAGCAGACGCAATAAAAGCCAACAAGCCAATCGACTGCTTGTTGACCAACTCAAGTCAACCCGCACCGTACGTATTGCATTTTAATATGGCCTGTGCAACCAATGGTAAGACGAAAATGAAAACAGGGGCCAGGTAAACTGCGGGACGTCACCAGCGCGTCCGACGACGATCGCTTTGCATCTGACAATGATCTGAATAGACAGCTGCTGCTGCTGCCGCCGCCGCCATTACATAACGTCTACATAGGAGAAAGTTGTATTAGAATGGGATAAAAAGGTGATGTTGCTTTAGCTGTTCGCGGCCGTCTTGGGCAATCGGTAGGAACTAGCGATGACGGTTATGCTGGTCATATTGGCAACCATAGCCAGTGCCCAGGTTCGACTCGCTTCAGCGCCCTTGCTACGCAGCACTTGGCGTCTTGCTGGCTTGGTGCTATTTTCACGCTTGCGTCCCTATCTAAACCGATCCGATGAAAAAATCGTCACTTGAGGGGAAGTGGCGGGGGGGGGGGGAGAGGGACGGCATGGCCGGTGGACGAACAATGGAGGTCAGCGTCCACCAGCGGGAGACATCGGTCGCCTCACTATTAGAGTTAGCCATAGGGACAAACGTGCGAGGATCGGCGGCGGTGGCGCCCGCGACAGCAATAGCAGCTCAGCTCCGTCCCTGCTGCCGCTGCTCCTGTTGCTAACGCAAAGACGGCGACTATGCAGCCGATACACAAACCAGTGGCGGCAGGCACAGCAGCAGGCTGCGGTAGGCACTAGGCGACACAACCAGCCGCTCACTCCAGTCCGCAACGCTACCAGCAGCGACCGCCAGATGGATCACAGACAGACAGACAGGCGGTCGGACGAACAGATGGACACAGCGGATGGCCAGGCAGGCGGCCAGCAGCAGCAGCAGCAACAGGAGAGTCCGTAGTAGCCGTGAGTGGATAGTTCCGACAATCGAGCCGTTCCGTTCTGGCCTAGAAAAAGACCATTCAGCACTCGTTTGCGCGTGCGCGAGTGATGTCAGCCCTTAGCCGCGCTGTTTGGCGGGTTCGTGGCAGGCGGTGAGTGGCGGGAAATTTAAATCGTGCAAATTTTAACCTAAAATGTCCATGCTAGCTTAGTGAACATGTGTCGTGTAGATTGCAAATTGTGTACATGACATGCGCACGAGTGTTGTGTAGGTTTCGTGGATTGGTAAGGCTCAGACGGCGTATTCGAAGACGAATTTGGCGCTAGTTGTTCGCACGTGGTGAGGGATGGCGGGTTGGGATTTAGGAGAGGACAGCGGTTCAGAGCAGCGAGCCTTGCTCTATGGTCATTCTTCGTTGCTCAGGTCTCGCAATCGCCACGCCACTCACTTAAATTTTGAAAAAAAACCAAAAAAATCGAAAAAATTGCAAAAGCCTAAGTCTCTTCGAGTAAGGACCAAAAAAAGGTACAGTGAGGATGAATTCGGGCGGAGGTAACTACACGATGGCGTCTCTGTACGTCGGGGACCTCGATCCAGATGTTACGGAATCAATGCTGTTCGAGAAGTTCTGCCAGGCAGGACCCGTGCTTTCGATCCGGGTATGTAGAGATATGATTACTCGCCGGTCGCTCGGCTACGCATATGTTAACTTTCACCAGCCTGGCGATGCCGAGCGGGCACTCGATACGATGAATTTCGAACCCCTAAAGGGCCGTCCTATGCGGATCATGTGGAGCCAACGGGACCCGTCCCTGCGCAAATCTGGTGTTGGCAACGTGTTCATCAAGAACTTGCACAAAGATATCGACAACAAGGCCATCTTCGATACGTTCTCGGCCTTTGGTAACATCTTGTCGTGTCGAGTGGCCACTGATGAACAAGGCAACTCCCGAGGCTACGGGTTTGTGCACTTCGAAACCGAGGAAGCGGCCAATGAGGCTATTGGCAAGGTAAATGGAATGTTGCTCAACGAGAAAAAGGTGTTCGTAGGCAAGTTCGTGCCGCGTTCTGAACGTGAACGTATGATGGGCGATAAAGCTCGTCTCTTCACCAATGTGTACGTGAAGAACTTCGGTGAGGAGCTGGATGACGATAAGCTTAAGGAGATGTTCGAGGCTTATGGTAAAATTACCTCGGCCCGCGTTATGACCGATCCCAGTGGCAAATCGAAAGGATTCGGTTTTGTAAGCTTCGAAAACCCTGAGGCCGCCGAACAGGCCGTCAAGGAGCTGAACGATAAGGAAATAGGAAATGGAAAGAAGATCTACGTTGGCCGCGCTCAAAAGAAGGCCGAACGTCAGGCCGACCTTAAGAGGAAATTCGAGCAACTGAAGATCGAGCGCATGAACCGCTACCAGGGTGTGAACCTATACGTGAAAAATCTAGACGACGTCATTGATGACGAACGTCTGCGCCGGGAGTTCGCTCCCTACGGAACAATTACCTCAGCCAAGGTGATGATGGACACAACAGGAACCCGCTCAAAGGGTTTCGGTTTTGTCTGCTTCTCTTCCCCTGAGGAGGCCACGAAGGCTGTGACAGAAATGAACGGCCGAATTATCGTGCAGAAGCCTCTATACGTCGCCCTGGCTCAGAGGAAGGAGGACCGTCGCGCTCACCTTAGCTCACAGTTCGTCCAGCGATTCGCCGGCGTACGCATGCCATTCAACCAACTGCCATTCAGTCAGGCACCGGCAAGTTACTTCGTACCAGCTATGCAACAGCCTCGAGCCTATTTCCCCAGCGGCAGCGTCGCTGGTGGCGTGCGACCTGCCCAACGTTGGCCAGCCGGACAGCAAATCCGTGTCGGCGGCCAGTACCCATTGCCGAACCAGCAGATCGCGGCAACCGCCACATTCCCACGTGCACAGCGCCCACTTATGCCTGGACAGGTAGCTGCAGGCCATGGAGCTCCTCATGCCGCTGGACCAGCCTCGGCCCGGTCCGCAGCCCTCAACGCCGCCCGACCCATCACTGGACAGCCTTTGCCCGGTGGTGCGAGCACTGGGGGACGCGTGAGTGGCCGGATCGGCGCAGGTGGAGCACCCCAGCAGGCTGCCGGAGCCCGTGCCAACTACAAGTACACGAGCACTGTACGTAACCCACAACCACCGAGTGGGGCGGCAGGTGCCGCTGGAGCCGCTAGTGGCGCTCTCGGTGGCAATGCAGCGAACGCCGTGCTCGTTCAAGGCCAGGAACCTCTTACTACTCAAATGTTGGCTGAAGCATCACCCCGTGAACAAAAGCAGATGCTTGGAGAGCGCCTATTCCCTCTGATTTATAATATGCACTCAGATCTCGCTGGAAAGATCACTGGTAAGTGCTGACACCTTTTCTCGTGTTTTTCGCGTGTTATCGTAGATTAGCTGGTGAGAGCATAATTTCGAATTTCATTAGAAGTACCAATAAAATGGTGAAACTACGAGAACTGGCACAAGTGTACAACTGCAAGCTGGTACTGTACGCAGTAGTGCTGTTCCCTTAGTATGCACATAATTGTTGTAATTAAAACGTAGTCGTATTTGGGCTTGTTGCCCTATCGGTCATAATCACGGTTGGATAGCTTGATAAAGACATGTGGTGATTAATTACTTCTTGATACCAGCTGGGTGCTGAACGAATTACTATGTCAAAATGTTTTTGACCCGTCGACTAAAGCTGAATGTGTTTACACGTTTCCGTATGTAATATGACGAACTCAGTAGGCAACAACAAGGCGGACATATCTTACCGTAGTCTATCTATACGGAGGGATGAAATTCGTCCAATTGTTAACCTATTATTCATCTTGCTTTTATTTTGATTCTGCTTTATTGGGACCATAACGACAGTAGATGCATAACCTCGAGAGCAACATGGATTTTATTCTAAAAGTAGTTTTGCGAGCCTGTCTTAGCACCAAATTTGTTCTTTGTATAAATGTAATATTCACGTTTGGTTCGTTCCGGAATGGACAGACAATTGTCAAAAAGTAATTGTTCTAAATAAATACATGGTGCATTAGGTTACATATGTTCAGTTCGTGATTATGCTTCTCAGTGTTGATTATTACTGAAGAGTCGAATAGTGCATCATATTTTGCATCGCTTTTGGACAGAGCTTTTGCGATTTATTAGAATATTAGGATTGCCGGTAGGCTCAGTGTTGATTATTGCTGAAGAATCGAATAGTGCATTGTATTTTACATCGCTGTTTTTGGATAGAGCTTTTGCGATTTATTAGAATAGTAGGATTGCCGGTAGGTTTGATTTAGCTTTCAAGCTTAACAGCGAATGCTGAACAGGAATGTGTGATAATTTCGGAAAATTCACGTGTTCAGGCCCGCAAAGTTGGTCGTATGGCTTAAGATGGATCCAACAGTCTACCTGTTCGTTAACTATTGCACTTAATCCCCAACGTCGGTCGGGACGCTGTGACTTGTCCAAATCGCTTGTCTCTAACATTGGCGCGTGGCCAAAAAACAGAGATGGCTAACGGCAAGAAGTTTTGTGTTACTGTTCATTTGCACGATCAAGCTCTAACTCGTCCTGGCTCGTTGTGACGAGCGTACTTAAAATAAGGACCGCGTCGCCCGATTACGAAGTACTCCCTTAACTTATGAGGGCACTTAACAGTACTATTCTAAGCATCAGTAGTTCTAGACCTGATAGGTCGGCTTATTCTTCTGTTATTCCGCCGCCGTTACTGCCGCCAGGTCGTGGTTACTAAGTATGTCCCCAGTGGTCACCAGCCAGCGCCGACGAAACCGGAGCGCCAAGCGGGTGGCTGTTTTTATTGTTGACGAGCGAATGAATGGCGACTATACCTGTTGCTGGAACGGAACAACTGCGAGTGTAGTTTGCGACTGCATTATGGGGATCCTTTGTTAGTTTGTGAGCCAGTTTGCCTGTTTATCCATTCGGCCTTCTACAGGTACGTTTTGCGTCGCTACGCAGAAGGCGTTGCTGGCATCTTCGTTGACATCATTATTGCTGGTCGCGTTTGAATGGCAGGTAGCCCACCAGCAGCCGGCAGTCAGGACCAATGTGGATAGCATGGATTCTGTAGCAATGTTAAAGCCATTCTGCATAGGCATTACCGGCCCCGTTGCCGTTGACGTCGGTGTGTGGCTCCGATGTGGTTCCGTTTGGTCTTCAGTTTTAGAGCTGCTGTTGTTGCTGTTTCCTGTTGCTTCCCACTGTCCGTAATGAAGCCAGCCTCGCGTTTGATGCCGTCAGCACTGAAGGCTTTGGGGGAAGCAAGAAATTGTTTCTGTTTTATTGTTTGTTTTTTCGCTGTTGTTGCGGTAGTAGCTTTCGTGTCTGATGACTGTGTCACAGCTGAAATCTATTGGGGGTTTTGTGACTAAACTTAGCGTTGGTTACGGCAGGGGTGGCCCGCACTAGGTAACTTTTTTGCGTTTATCCTTAAACCTTCGTGGAACAGCAGGTATTGTGGGCTGTGTGGGGTGACGGTGGGGACACTAATAACAAGACTTGCTTATTGCGGCCACCTGCCGTTGGGGCCTCTTTGCTTCACGTTGGCCGGAACCAGCGCTGCTTCAGCAACTTGGCTAAAGCTGGAAAGCAGGAAAACTGAATGGCACTTGTTGTCGTATCGTTTATGACGTCCATGATATTAATCAATAATGACAGCGAAAACGGCAGCGATTTGCTGGACGGCGGTGTGATTGGCACTTTTGCCTTGTTTTGACTTAAATACTAGCGATGTTCTGTTCATTCTTAATGTCGCTTGTGATTCCAATATTGACCAGGAAGGCAGAATTTTTAAATTTTTGTTCGCTAAATTTTCCTCTTTTTTGCTAGAAGTAGCACTGGCGCTGTACAATTATTGGGAATTTGGCGGTGCCAGAAGTCTATACATAATTATTTCAATATCCTACTAGCTTCCGGTTACACCTATGAAACGATTCGAATTAGCCGTTGATACCTCTGCTGCTACCGCCCATGCTGATATGGCACGTCGCATTATTGCCACAGAAGCCTCATGCAATTGGTTGTTAGGCATGGTCAGCCCTAAAATGACGTCGAGTCAATGTCAGCGACGCAAATCAGTTCGTGGAATATGTGTCGAAGCTGAAGTTGAAATGCATTTGAAAAACATTATTTCGAGGTTCGTCTTAGGTTCGTCTCGAGACTACGAACTTTTTTTTGTCGAATAAGAGCGCTTCATCCCGTTTATGCGATACCTTTCTAGCTAGTCGTGCCTGTGATTTGGTCAATAGGTAAAAACCGAATACATTATTCAATTCATCATAGCAATATCCGACTGCTGATGTTTCTTGCGTAGATGTAGAAGCACTGCTCTTTTCTGTTCTAATAAATTTCGTTTGTTCAGCGATATAATTCCTCTTCTTGCTGATACGCTATTATGTCGAGAGCACGGAGGTGTAATTTATGACGATAATTTTTTACGTTTTTGTCTATTGTAGGAATGCTTTTGGAAATTGACAACTCCGAGCTTCTCCACATGCTGGAGCACAATGAATCGCTACGTGCGAAAGTTGACGAAGCCGTTGCTGTGCTCCAAGCCCACCAGGCCAAGGAAGAGATCGCTCGGGCTGCGCCTGCCCAGGCTGCTGCCCCCGCACCGATGCCCGCAGCTCCCTCTGACCAACCGAAGACGATGGCCGAAGTCGTAGCTGGCAAGAAAGAGTAAAGCAAAAAAATTGTCGGGGTCAAGGCGGAGGTTTTTATAGACATTATTGTGATTGTTGCTAGATATTTTCTTGGCTACACGGTTTTGTGACCGATGATTAAGTGGATAGTACCCTTTACTGCTGCTTGCTGGTTACCACCTCGGCCATTGTCTTCGGCTACTTAGAGGAAGCTGCAAGCCGCGCCTTTTTAGGATGCTGCGCCCCCGCTGATGCCCGCAGCTCCCTTTAAGCAACTGAAAACTATTGCCGAAGCGGCAGCTGGCAAAGAGTAACGAAAACAGTTCACTCAATCACCGGACACAAAACGTGTAGCGAAAAAAGTATCCAACTACAATACCATCAACGACGATAAAAACCTCCACCTTAACTCCAACGATTTTTACGGGCAACATCAACAGCAGAAACAACAACAACAACAACAACAACAACAACAACAACAACAAAACGAAAACCACCTGAGCTAAACGAAAATGAAAGACGAAAAATAAAAATAAAAATGTTTTTACAAAACTTTTTCCTCATCTTCCGTTCCTTTTCTGTCCCTCTCCATTACATTGTTTACGGTATTCCAGCCATGTTTCACATCGCGCATTTTTTATGCCGTTTCTATTTTATCTCTTTCTGTTTCAAAATCCATGCTAAAGACTAAGCAGCAACATGAAAATAACATCGATAGCGAAAGCTGTGAAAAATGTGGCAACAATGTGATACAGGAGAAAAGCAACTTCTTGAGGAGAAGAATACTCCTTGATGATTTGCTGAACGCAAATAAATGAGAAGAGATCCGTGCATGATTAGTCTATTAGGTTTCAATCCCAACATGCACACGATTAAAAGGTATACGGACTAATTGTGTACGCGCTCCATAATTTAGCAGTTTAGTATGTCGTATTTGTTCGACTGTCTTCTTTTGCAAAGTGTCATGAAGAGAAAATTGCGGCAATCAAATCTAGCAGGTCTTCATCGCTGAATTTCCTTAAGATGACTTGTTTTTCGTATTGTTCGGTTAATTTTGTTGTTGCTGTTACTGTATTCTTGTCATTAGATGGTTTGTGCGAGTTTTGAAATTGAGTAAGAGATACAGAGGTGAGATGAAGTTACGAGAAGTAATTGAAAATTAACCAAAAAAAATCGTAAATCAAAAAACAAAAAGATTACTGCAATCGATAAACAATGAAACTTTAACAAAGACGGTGATGTAAGATGATGGGCAGTTCAGCGCTGAGGTATAGATCAGAGAACGAGAGGGCTACTTGATGATGCGTTTAGGGTTAGCTAACCCAAAAGATTGCAGGTTACAGAAAATTGAATTGCGCGTATGGATGATATAGATTGATGATAAGTAAAATAGGCGCTGAACTGGCGAAAAAATACGCGATGTCAAGCGTGATGGAGATACATTAAAACAAACAATGTAATAGGAGAGGAAAGGTTAAAAAAAAAGGAAACTGAAATTGTTTACTACGCCAACAACAGGAAAAAGGCAAAGCGATTGAACTGTGACAACATTTACCGCAAACAAGAATTGCAGGAAGATATACAACAACACGTTAAATAAACCATAAACATTTATGATTAATTGGCGACCTGTCCTCATTAATAGTAGCGACTGTACTGAAATCGTTGTAGGACGGAGCAACATTAAGCGCATCAGCGTGAGGCCAGTTTTAGCAACACTGATATGAAGGTAGTATTTAGTGTTAACGTTGCTTTAAGAAAAGCGAAAATGAAATTTTACTTTTTTGTAAAAGGTTGTATTATAGTTTTAAAAAAAAAAAACATAGAGAAAGCTTTCCTAGAAAACATTTAAAATTAGGAGCATCGCTCGATCCTAGTGGATTCATGAGTCATTGCTTGACTTACGCCGGAAGTAGTAGCAACGATTATACGATAACAAGAAGTCCGCCCACAGGCTTACTTATAATGGGTATTAGCACCACCGTTTTTAACTGATTTTCCTTTTACAAATAATGTGGTTCGAGTATCACCTATGTATGTACATATGTAGTGTGATATAAAACGACTCGAGTTAACTTACCGACCGGTTTAATCTGACGCTACGAAACAGGCAAAGCGCCAAGATTGTCGGTGCATTTAGTCAGTCAAACGCAAGTCTATATGCGCCAGCTGATGAATTAAGGGTAAGAGTGTCTACTTGCCTTCGAAATCACCGCAATCTATCATCACCGAAATCGCTACAGGGGTCCCTCACACCCCATCTTGTCATCGACGCTGTGATGGTAGCTACAGCGGGCCTTTCCTTACTACTGCAATCGGGTTTTTTTCTTACTGCCAAGATTCACAAGCAAGAAGCACCGAAGCAATAACAAGTATTCGAAAGAGTTGATTCTTGAATTACTTCGGTAACTATTTAGGCCATTTTATGACCACTGTGGATTGCCGTAGTGATTGAAGCTTTGTTTACGCACGCAACCCAGGGGCGACGATAGTGTAATGGTAATGTGTTTGGCTGCTAGGGTTAAGGAGACACAAGGTGTTCTAGGTTCGAAAGCAAGCATAGACACATCCGTTTTGTACTGGGAGTGTTCATATCAAGCAGTACTTTACTAAGGCAGCACCGGACATAAAACTTGAAATCGATTCATTAATAGAATGGCGTATAAGAAAGAATCTAAAGAATGCTAAGAAATCGTAAATCGAAGGGTTCTGCAATAGCAGTGTCGCTGATGCTTCGAAGTCGTCACTGGTTTAGTTTCGCTTCGCCTGATAATCTTCAGTGTAAAACGAAAATCCGCATCACTTCAAAATATGTGCTAATTATTTGATAGCGAATGAACATCTCCAACAGAGGTGTGAAAACTGCTAAAAACGACGAAAGTAGAGTCGAACAGGAATGTAACAGAATTCACAAAATCGATTTAGCCGAACCCGGCCAATGTATTAAACAGATTAATAAAATGCTATGAACCCTTATACTTACTTACAGGGCGTTTTTATATGGTGCAAACAATTTTGCCGGCGGTACCGGAACCTATGCTCACAGCACTGCCAATTCAGTCAAATAGGTGGGCAATTCGAAAGATCAGGATATTTATTGTCTGTCAAAACTGGCCTACGCGTTTACTTAATCTACATACATAGATCACTCGTTGAAACTGAAGTAATTGTTGCAGAGGTAAGAAAAGGAATAATTAAGGCAGATAAAAACAATAAGCAAATATTTCATTATTTTCATATCACCCTCTCTAGTGCGCTCGATGAGCGTTGCATGTTTTTTACACTTGTGTGCATGTTGAACCGAGCTCTAAATATGCCATCCTCAGTATCAGTTGTACTTTTAAACATCATTGAAGGTGTACTGAGTTGAGCCAGACGCGTATTACCAGTTGCTTTTTATTAGTACAATACTCTCTCTCTCTCTCTCTCTCTCTCTATATATATATATATATATATATATATATATATATTGGGTCGTTCGGTATGAAATGTGACAGACATTAATATTATATTTCGAAATAGCCCTATTTATAACGGTGTGATATTTCGTGACTGTTTTTTACTGTTTGCGAGATGTACTCCTTCACGCAAACTTAAAAATCTGAGACGATTTATTATTATACTATCGCTCGGGTTTTCCGCAGGTGAATCACAATGAACCATGGAAAACCAACAACCTCAAGAGATTTACGAATATGGAACTACACCGACGGATACAGCTCACGTTATAAACCTCTATTGAGTAAAGGCACTGCTAGTAATAATGCCGTGGGCTATATGGTCCTCGTAAGAGCCCCCTTGCGGAAGGTGAGCTACGGAAAATTAAGAGCTGCAGTGAAAGTCGACACACCGTAAAGCGCATAAGTGTTAGCACTCAAGTTTAGTGTACGTAAGAATAGTCCATTTATCCACTGGGCTCAAATTAATAAGATGAAAAGATTGAACGACTGTGTGCCGCACGGCTTGAGCGAGGATCAAAGGTAGAGACGCTTGGCTTTCTTTGCTTTTACGTTAGAACAGTGACCTATTCTTGCATAAAATTTTACTCGTGATAAAAAATTGATACTTTTCAATAATCGCAAACAGTAACATCAGAGAGTGAATGCACCTGAACGGCAGAACATCACCCCAAGGCAAACGTATAACTGCAAAAACTTATTGTGTCTGTTTGGTAGACTAATTAATGCAGGTGTTACTCAGTACGATTTATGAATCCTACTTCGTCGATCACGGCTGAAGTGTATTGTCAGCAGTTAAAGGAGATGATAAAAAATTAAGAATTAAGCAGCCAAGATTACTGAATATAGGTGCACCTATATATAGGTGCTCCTATTGTACGACAATATTCAAATTTACACCACAAGAATCACAGTGGCAAACACGTAGGAGTTAGAATAGGAAGCTCTCTATCATTTACAGTGCTCGCTCGATATTGCCTCTACAGACTAACAAATTTCAAAATGTCGACACCTTCTTAAGCAGAAAATTATTCGAATGTCAACATGATTTTAGATTCTTTTTTTGAAACTTCTTAGACTTTATTGACCCAGACTTCTACAGCAGTGGAGTAAGTAACCTTTTATCAAAATTACAGTAGGTAATAGATAATCGTGGTGTAATGATAATCGCATTTACATATAAAATAAATGAACTAAGCATGTACAAAAAAGCTATAGTTTAGTGTGTCACGTTATTTTATGCTATATATATAAGGCCAGTGAAAATAATTTCATAATTCTCGTTCACAGCTCATTTTTGTGTTGTACTTCCTATATATATCCATTTGATAATTCAAAACATAAAATCGTTTCACGACAGTCTGTAAATAAGCGTTCAAAACGTGCATTGGAAAGTATTATATTCTTAATATAACAAATATTAATAAATAGCTTTTATAAAATGCCATGAGAAACGAGATAGGGGCCAAAGCTAGAGTAAAAAAAAACATTTGACAATTTTTTAGCGACAAACAGCGACAATTTATTATTTATTTTACTTCATAGTTTCAAAGTACGTTCAATTTATATAGCATGGTGCCCGTTCAGGTAGTAATAATAACGATTTTGATAATATAATACTTTATTATTATTAATATCATTATCATAACCTTTGTTACAATTATTATAATTGTATCATGGTATTGTAAATAGTTACACTCGTTATCCATTCTTATATATATATGTATATATTCTCCCATAGTGTCGCTAACAAGTTAGACGTCTAAAGCGTAAAGCATTTATTTTTTCGCAGCGATTTCAACGTAGTTTCAACCATCCCGCGCTACATGAAAACCCGACGCAAAAAGTTGTTCTTCTGTTTCACTATCGACAATTGCGGATGTCTATTGCGAAGACAGTGACTGCCGCCGCCCATTTCAAAATTGGAAAATGCCTAAGTTACCTAAAATGCCCTAGAGTATGACTGATCATCCGTTAACCAAAGATCTTGCATTGGATCAGTACGTAACTCCATGAGGTTTCTCTTGAACAATAAAAACGACAAACTACTCTCTAGAAGGCAACCAGTTTTGCGCTTGGTGTATGTCTATCTTATAATAAATGTGATTACCCAGTGTAGAGTTAGTTGGACTTTTTACAGGAAATCGCTGCGAGATGAAAAAAGGCCCTAGATGCCCAATGGATAATTAATCTTATTAAAATTCTGAATTAGTATTCTGATTCAAAAGCCTTCTCCAGCATTGGCACCGCTTGTGAGTAGTTTACTCTAAACACAGAACATTAAACTTACTGCTACCGGTACTCCCTTTTTAAAAAAAAAAGCCAAACATGGCTGAAAGTTTCTTACCTTAAAATACTTGTAAAATGCAAAGCGCACGTTCGAATCTTCTGAACTTTGGCCAATGGATAACACACAGACAGATGTTACAAGCCAAGCCAATAACTGGACTTTACTCGATAAAATTCGAAGCCTTTTATGAATACCTTTTTGATATATACTATCAAGCACAAAACAAAATGTTTTAGTATGTATCTGAGGGACACTGCGATAATGGGTAGCGAAAAAAATAATCTGCGAGGATGATCGTTAGCCTAGGGCAACCTCATGTCGTCCCCCGCCGCTTTAATCGTGCGCGATATATCACAAGAGCAAATCACAGAGAAGCGGAGGACATCAATCAATAATTAGTGTTTGTGTCTATTATGGTTTATTTGTTGGTTTTTCTGTTTTTTCCTTCGGATTTTGCATTTCATGCGTTCGGTTGTCACCAGCTTCCTTTCCTTTTAATTAAAATTTTCCCAATATTGTAGAAACTATGCAATTTCACCCAGTTATTACATAAACAATTACATAGACACTCAGAGTGATCTTATGAGCTGCTTATCTTTTACATATGTAAAGCAATATTTATGCGTGTGTTAATATTTGCAAATATGCGTAAACTATAATCCATGTATTAGTGTTAAATCATGATAACATCATGCTACCTTCCGAGTAAATAATATATCAGCCGGTATTATGATGATCACTATTAGTGCAATCATCATCAATATTTTTTATTCTATGCTGGCATTACTCCAGTTTATTGGTCATATATGGCCACATCATCAACAGAAATCAAGTCTTCATAGTTATCTGTTCAAAACGTAAACAATATATCAA